GGTTGGTTGGAGAGTGGAGAGAAGAAAGCATCATTTGTACCAACAGAACTTGAATTTTGTTTATGCATGACCTTCTTGGGGGACTATGAGACCCATCTGGTCTGATGTTTCTCTGCCCATGTCCTTGTTTATTTGACTGGAGGAAGTGGAGTGGGGTTGGGGTTAGGATGGTGGTGATTGCTGCAGCCAATACAATCCAATATGGACCATGGCCGATAAATTTAGTCTTCTGATCGTTGGGATCATCTTGTGCGGATTGAACAGATTGGACGATCAGGATTATGATTTAAGTCCTCATGTGATGATGATCTCCCAAAAAAGATTTGTGGGGTTTCATTTATGGTTTTTAATAGATTTTGTGAGGTTTAGTTAAGGCTGGTTACCCTCCCAACTGCTGGCATTGAACGATGCAGATTGGCCTGACTGGACTTTTAGTGATGAAGTCCTCATAGTCTCTGCAGATATATCCGTTGAATTTTGTTTAAGGTTTTTCAATAGATTTGTAAGGTGTTATTTAAGATTTTTCTGTACCTTCTTGGCTTGGTATGTCTTCACTATTTTGTTTGATGTTGCCAATTTTTGCTTAAGCTGTCCATCATCAATGATGGATGTTTGCTACCTACTGTATTATTACTGACTCTGTGACATTTCTAGATGTATTCATAATATCATTGAGTTCTGGTTTGGGAATATCACAAAAATTGTGCACTTCAATTATTGAATACCTCATGTCTAACATGGTACTAGCCATTCCACCTTCATATAATTTCACCTAGTTTCTATGACAGACCATAAAGTACTCTAAAATGTTTTTCTTGCATTGCAAAGGAAAAGTGGGGTGCATATCCATTTAAATTGCACATAATAGCACTTTATATCGATTTCTTTTGTCAAGATTTCACAAAATCATGCAATGCTGTTGTTCTGTAATTGTGTCATTTTCATATATATATATATATATATATATATATATATATATATATATATATATAGTAAATTTGTTTGGTGCTCCATGGTGCCCGGGCACCATTGTTGAAATTGAGTATATACCTAATTCAAATGAGTATGAAACTTTTTCAATTACTTAGATATTAACATTAGCTACTTTACTAACTAGTTCAAAGCAAGTTTGAACTGAATTTGAACTTGTTTTTGTTAGATTTTGATTCTAGGTATATAGCATCCATACATATAATTAGTTAGGTATGTAATCATGGATTGTGAAATAAAGTTAAATTTGAGTTGTTTTGTTGATAGGTATAGGTATGAATCGAGTTATTATAACTAGGTATATACTCACAATTTGAAAATTTTGAAAAATTTGAGTGATTTTGTGTATTTGATACCATGGTGCCCGGGCACCATGGTGCCCCATATGAGTGTCCTATATATATATATATATATATATATATATATATATATATATATATTATAATTTACCATGAACAAAATGCATTTAAAAGCTTGGGCTTGCTTGCATTCATGGGCGCACCTTTTACTCGTAAGCCATGAATGGTGGATGCCAGTGTTAGACATAGACATGTGTTGGAATCTGACTCGGATTGAGTTGTCCGATTTGGCTCCCAAAAAATGTGAAGTACATAAATGCACACACATTGAGCAATATCACCCTTTTAGGATAGTGCAAATACTAAAATAGTTGTGTGCACTAGTTTTTCTTCTTTGAAGGATGTGGTATTAATTTCCCCCTTTCTTCTATCATCAGGTGCTTACAAAGTTTCAGAAAGTGTACATGGCACAACAAGGGCACAACATGGTTTCAGAATGTGTTGAGAAAGAACAGGTTTCGGCACAAGCCATAGGAAGTAAGAGTAGCAAAAATAAGGTTTATCCAACAAAGGAAAGTGCTTTGCATGTAAGGAAACATCACACACTCTGGATCAATGCAGCATAAAAGAAAGGCTGGTTTACCAGAATAGAAACATCTATAAATGATAAGGAGGTGAACTTCACTGTAGCAAGGTGGAAGGAAGACAATGAAGATAACATTGAATTGATTATAGAATGGTTTTTAGTTTATGGGGTCCCAAGGATATACAGAAACTGGAAAGAGCTATACCAAATTGTGTCAGCAATCGGTGTATTGATTGATGTGGATGAGGAAAGTTTGCTAGGCGACCGTAAGGAGCCTTTTTCATGTCACTTTATGTTTGGGTGGTATTCAAGATGTGTTACATTTATGATAGAAGACGAAGCACAAACCACGAAGTGTAAAAGGAAGGTATTAGAAGATTGCAATGGCCAAGATCATCTTGATGAATTTGGCAAGGAATATAGAGTCAAGTCAGACAAAGCTATTGAAATACCTCCAGAAATACTGAATAAAGAGATGATTTCAGAGAGCAGTAGTAATGACACTAGTATTGTTGTTTCAACACACAACCATACATTGGATGTCAAAGGCTGGTCAGACAAGGAATTTGAGAAGAGAATCATATGTTTTAGCGGAAGAGGCTAGCTTTATTGAGGATAACAGATCCTTCTAAACACAGCCAAATTAGCGAGTATACGTTGTTGGTCTATGAGTTATGTGGGCTTTTATCTATCTCACAATCTGTTTAGAAATAAGTTCATTTTAGGTCTCTCATATTAACGTTCAGTTCAAATTACATCCTCAAATCATAACACCAAATATAATGTGTCCTACAACTTGTCAACTTGCAATACCAGGGTATACCGTATATCGATGTCCCATGGAAGTATTGTACCCGGTTTCGGCTGATGTAGTGAGTTGACTGTGGTTAACCAGGCTAAGTCAGCATGAGGCCCACGTGGTCCCCACATGTCAACGGGCTAGTGTTCTTCCTCCTCCCTCCCTCTCTTCCCCATCTTCTCCAGGGCGGTATGCAACGAGAAGGGTGTTGGCCAGCGATGGAGAGGAGCGACAGCGATGGTGGTGGAGGAGTATAGTAGAGCAGTGTGATTCGGTCACGTTGAACACGACAACAAGCGCGAGACGGTGCTCGGGGCCTTTCGCTCCACTCGCAGCGGTGGTAGAGGGGAGGAGACATGGAAGGTGCACAGATGACACGGATGAAAGACGATGTGGCCAGGGATGACGGTGGTGAGAGCGAGAGGCTCCACGAGGACGGCGGTGCTCCCCCTCCCACCTTTCGCCCTTTGCTCAACGACGGTTGCACAGGAGCAGCGATAGTGCTTCCTCTTTCTTTTACACAGAGGGTATACTTTCTTTTACAAATGACAATGTGTCATTTAACCAAATCACAAAGATTTGACTGAGAACCTTTCTATCTGATGACCCAAAATCCCTTCGCACCCCTTCCCCCCAAATTGAGCAGCCACAGCTTCACCTCCTGTCAACAGCAGCTATGTCCTCTGGTGACAGAACCTAGTTTCAACAAAAAGAACATATTTGTTTGGCCAATCTTGATGGGTGTACCATCGGTTGCATCGCCTAATCCCATATGATTCTATCGTTAAATCTTCTATAATTGATTAGAATCCCTCTTTCCTTTAATTCCAAACCCTAGCATGCATGTGAATTGCAGGGTAAGCCAAATCTATTTATAGCCAACTATAGCCAAGTTGTCTAGTGCATTTATGTTGCACCTTTTTCTCCAAACATGGTATCTAATCATGAACTGACACATGTCTTTAACGTTCTTGTGCCATTACACATGTCTATAATAACCTATAAAACCTATTGCGCGGGAAACGAAAACCCTAGTAGGAACATAAAGTTGGACTTGTGCCATTACAAATCCTAGGACACATCTCATTAGTAAGTCATAATGATGCGGAAAATTGAGAAACTATAATTGCGCGGGAAAATAAAGTTGACTTATGACAGCACGAACCCCAAGACATCACTCATCAATAGTAACCTATAATTACACGGGAAATTAAGAAACTATCGTTGCACTGAAAATAAAGTTGGAGTCCTTAAAATACAGATCTCATTAGAGCAAGTTTAATAGTATAGCCAAGCGTTAGCTCAAAATCATCTATAGCTAATCTAATAGCTCATTCGTACAATAGTTACCTATAAAAATATACTACACCATTAATACCCGGTCCCACCTCTCATACACACACAACATCTTGGAGTCTGTGTTACAGCTGGCTATAAATCTGTAGCCCGCTTTTTTCTCTCTTTTTCCTTTTCTTCTCGATATATAGTTATAGCTGGTTTATAGCCTGCTATTGTACTTGCTCTTAGCGAGTGCTCAAGAGTCTCGCATGTTCCAACTTACTCCCTCCATTCATTTTTATCATCAAATTTGGTTTGTACAATAATACCAAGATAATATAGCATAATAATTAATCAAAATCAATCAGCACTATTAGCCTTTCATCTCCTTGTATGCCGCATGGACTCCCCAATTAGTTGTGATTGCATTAAATACTTGACCAAGATTTCTGCCAATGAAGCCACAAGGCATGCATGCAACGCAGCATACAATGTTGTGTTCGTTTGCTTGTGTTGTAACAAATTCCCTTCACACGGAAGAGATACCTATTAGCATATGATTAATTAAGTATTAACTTTAAAAAACTTAAAAATGGATCAATAAAATTTTTAAAATAACTTTTCTACATAAACTTTTTTAAAAAAACACATCATTTAATTATAGCGTGTATCTGGAAAACGAGTGAGTGAATGAAGTTGGAAAATTTGTCAAAAGAACACAAAAACGGAGTGAAATTGGGAAAATTGTCAAAAGAACACATGGCGTTTAACAGCTTGCCCGAGATTTCTGCCACAACCCCACCAAATACGACAATCAAACGGAAACTTTCGTGTTTTTTTTAAATACGATGATCAAAAGAGAACAGAGAGAATATGATAAATTAAATAGCTTACCATTATCTAAAAAAAACAGCTTATAAAACCCAATAAGTACTCAAGACTCAAGAGGCAGTCTCAGCCTATTTTTCCTTTCCTTTCATTCAAGGATGCATTCGTAGGTACTCTCGGTTTTTCAGTTTACTAGTTGCCATCCAAATGCATTGTACTATTGTAGTACTAAAATTCGTAACGAAAATATAGAGGAACCTGTTCACATGTCAAAACTGGTAGCAATTAAATGCTACGTGCCTAAACAGGAAGCAAACGTCACCTCCAAAATGGATCCAACTTTCCAACAAACTGCTATACAACTGTTGCCACCGAATAAGCATATGAACACATACATAATTCTTTGCAGCAACGCACAGTACAAAATTGCTTATTTCACAAAACTAAATTTCCATTACAAATAATACTTTGTGCATTTGTGACCAAAGTGCAAAAAAACACACCCGGATCTAGGTTTTATAATCCCTCCCAATTCCCAAATCCCCACTGCACTTCACAGGTTTCACCAACTCGTTCTCATCTCTTTGCGCTGTCCTCCGGCAAAAAAGGCATTTCTTCCTCCTGTTGTCGGCGCAGCGCCGCCACACGGGTGCTGTGACGGGACGCCGGCGGCGAGGGGCTTGCGGGGTGGTGCGGCGGCCGGCAGCGGCGAGGTGCTCTGGTTGTCAAGCGCCGGGAAGATCCATCAGTCAGGCAAAGGAAAGGTATATGCTCCTGTTTTCATCTCATGAATCCTTTTGCTCCTGTAGATATGTAGAAATAGATTAGAAGTAAAGCAAAATGGAAAAAATCATATGCATATGAATCTGGAATGGAGGTTGATTTTGGGGGGGCATCTGGTCTTTGATGTTTCCTGATTGATTTTGTTTGTTTGTTAGGAGAGTGGAGACAAACATCAGTTGTATCTTAGAACTTGAATTATATATATATGACCTTATGGGGGCCATCTGGTCTCCGATGTTTCCCTGGTCCTGAATCCTGATTGATTGGGGAGTGCATAGACAAGCATCACACTGATAGAACAAGAATTATATATGTATGACCTTGTGGGGTACCATAAGATCCATCTGGTATTCTGGTCTGAGATTTTTCTGCCCATGTCCTTGTTTATCTGGCTGGGGGAAGTGGAGTAGGGGTTGGGGTTAGGATGGTGATGATTGCTACATCCAATATAGTCCCTATGGACCATGCCCACATGACAAGTTAAGCCTCTTGACCGTTGGGATCGAGTGGCGCGGATTGACCTGATTGGACAACTAGGGTTAAGTCCTCACTTAACAATGGTTTCTGCAAATAGATTTGTGGGGTTTCATTTATGGTTTTTGATAGATTTTGTGAGGTTTAGTTAGAGCTGTTTACCCTCCCAACTTCTGGAATTGAATAGCCAGAGATTGATCCAACTGGACTACTAGGGGTGAGGTCCTCAGTCTCCACAGATAGATCTGTCGGATTTTGTTTTAGGTTTTTCAATATATTTGTAATGTTTTATTTATGGTTTTTCTAGGCTATGGTACAAAAGATGTTGTGCTTTGGTTGGCTTGGTATGTCTTCACTGTTTTGTTTGATGTTGCCAATTTTTGCTGAAGCTATCTATCATCAATGATGGATGTTTACTACGTACTGTATTATTACCGACACTGTAACATACTGACATTTGTAGATGTATTCATCATTAGCTTATTCATTGAGTTCTGGTTTAGGAATATCACAAAAAACTGTGCATTTTATTATCTCCTGTCTAACATGGTGCTTGCCATTCAACTTTAATATAATTGCACTTAGTTGTTTTGACAGCTTAGAAAAACTAGTCTAAAATGTTTTCTTGAATTGCAAAGGAAAAATGGGGTGCATATCCATTTTAAAAGAGCATAATGACCACTTTATATTGATGTCTTTGTCAAGATTTCACAAAATCAGATAATCCTATTGTTCTGTAGTTGTGCCAATATTTTAAAACATATATTGAAATTTACAAACAGAAACAATGCATTCTAAAGCTTTGGCTTGCTTGCATGCGGGGCACAGCTTTTACTTGTTTACCATTAACGGTGGATGCTAGTGTTACGGTGTTACCTAGACATGGACATGTATCCGAATCCGACTCGGGTTTAGTTGTCCGACTTGGCTGGAGCAAGTGGAGTGGGGGTGGGGTTAGGATACTGGTGATTGCTACAGTCCTAATATACTCCCTATGGACCATGCTAACATGACAAATATAACCTCTCGACTGTTGGGATCAAATGGCGTGAATTGACCAAATTGGATGATTGGGTTTAAGTCCTCATGTGAGGGTGGTCTCCACAAATAGATTTGTGGGGTTTTGTTTATGGTCTTTTAATAAATTTTGGGAGGACTTGTTTAAGGCTATTTGCCCACCCTTTCAAATTGAACAGCGCAGATTAACCCGACTGGGCTATTATTAGTGAGAATGTGAGATCCTCACATCACGACAGTCTCCGCAGATAGATCTGTGAGATTTTGTAGATATTTTTATTATAGATTTGTATGGTTTTATTTAAGCTTTTTCGGGCTATGGTACCAAAGATGTACCTTGGATGGTTTGGCATGTTAACTGTTTTGTTTGAGGTTGCCAATTTTTGTTGAAGCTAGCCTATCATCAATGAGGGATACTACCTACTGTATTACTGAGGCTGTGATATTTCTAGATATTCATCATTGAGTTATTCAGTGACAACTTAGAGAAACTACTATAAAATTTATTTCTTGTATAAATTTTAAATGGTCGCTTTTTATTGATTTCTTTTGTAAAGATTTTGCAGAATCAGTTAGTCCTATTTTTCTGTAATTGATCCAATAGAGTGAAATTTGCAATCAACACAATGTTTGCCACATAAATTCAGTACTACGGTTGCAAGCTATATCATTGCATCTAATATGCATTTAAAAGCTTGGGCTCTGTTGCATGCAGGAGCGCAGCTTTTACTCATATACCATTAATGGTGGATGCTAGTGCTACCTAGACATGGACATGTACGGTATCCGACTTGGATTTAGTTGTCCGATTTGCACCCCCAAAAAATGTGAAATACATTTTGAATTAGACACAATTGACAGAATCAAACACAGATGCACACTTAGAGAAAAATTACCCTTTACGGTAGTACATTTGTTTTCTTCTTTTTAAGTGTGTGGTATTGATTTCCCCCTTTCTTTTGTCATCAGGTGCTTACATAGGTGATATAAACAGAAAAGTGTACATGGCACAACAAGAGCACAACATGGTCACAAAAGGCACTGAAAGACTGGTTGCTGGCGCACAACTATTTGGCCATTCTACAAGGCAACCATTCTACATGATTCAACCTTCGGAAGAAGTTGTTCAGAAGGAGAAATTCTATTATCACTGCCTACTGATCACATCTGATGTCAGTAACCTGGACCTGAGAAAAGTGAAAGTTGAAGTAAGCAAGTTTTGGAAGCTGACTGACTGGGAGATAAGGACAGAAGGCAGACATAATTTCCTAGTGTCCTTGAACTCAGAGGATGACCTAGTAAGCTGTTTAAAGATTCCAAGAATAGAAACATCAATAGATGATAAGGAGGTGAACTTTACTGTAGCAAGATGGAAGGAAGATGATGATGAAAACATTGAATTGATTAGAGAATGGATTTTAGTTTATGGGGTCCCAAGGATATACAGAAACTGGAAGGAGCTATATCAAATTGCATCAGCAGTCGGGGTATTGATTGATGTGGATGAGGAAAGTTTGGAAGGTGACCATAAGGAGCCTATTAAGTTAAAGGTTGCATTGAGAGGTGTCGATGCTTCTCCTTTCTCATGTCACTTTGTGTTCGGGTGGTATTCAAGATGTGTTACATTCACAATAGAAGACAAAGCACAAACCACAGAATGTGAAAGGGAGGTCTTGGAAGATTGCAATGGTGAAGATCATCCTGATGAATTTGGCAAGGAATACAACAACAAGACAGACAAACTTATTGAAATGCCTCCAGAAATACTGAATAAAGGGATGAATTTGGAGAGCAGTAGTCATGACACTAGTATTGTTGTTTCAACTCACAACCATACATTGGATGTCAAAGGCTGCTCAGACAAGGAATTAGAGGCAATAGAATCAGCTGTATTAGTGGAAGAGCCAAGCTCCATTGAGGATAACAACATAAGTGCTCCAGTACCCACTACAACCATCATCTCTGAAAAGACAGCAGAAGACAGTCCCCGGGCTGGAAGGGAGCAGTCCATAAGTGGAAGTTCAACTAGCATGATTGGAGACACGCTCTTCAAAGGTGAGTCAAAGTTTACACAAATCATGCATGGTATATTAAATATGTTTGAGATAATAGGATAATCCATTTCTAGTTTCTCCAAGAAAACATTAATAGGCCTCATTTTTTTTATAGTTGACATCATCTTCTTTATGCTTCACCAGCAGCCACTGTGATCCACTCCAAGAAAACAACTGAAGACATACCAAAAGCTGAAGGGGGGCAATCCACAAGTGGAAATTCAACAAGCATAATTGGAGAAGAACCCTTCAGAGGTCAGTGAGAATTCTGTATTCAAAAAGTTTGTATTTTTTTTCTCAAATACAGAGAAATTTGAGCATCATTATATTAGGAAGAAGAAAGAGGGGGTAGAACCCTGAGTACAAAACCAAACATGCACACACTGAGATCTGCATAAAGTTTCTTTTGTTATAAGGATTTGCTTTATAAGGATAATACTTCTAAGTAAAAAGGAAAAACTAACTAATTCTCGATTTTTTGAAAAATGTAGTTTTAGCATGTATGTAGGTGAATGTGTCGGCTACACTAATTTTAGCATATATGTAGGTGAATGTGTCAGGTACACTAGGATAAATAGTTACCCTTTTGTTGATTGGCATTATGTTCATAACAATTCCCTTGAAGGTATACAAAAACCACCTGTCAAGATTGTGTATGCAAGAAGAAATAAAAGATCCATGGAGAAGCAGGATTACAAAAGCTTCCTAGAAAAACAACATCAGAAGGAAATGGAAGCAGCTATAGTGGGCCAAAGGCAGAAGTCGGATGATGAGTCTGGAGGAGATGGAAACAATAAAGACAGCAATTCGATTGCTCCATCTGCCATTGCAATCAACTCTAAGAAGAAGCAAACAACAAAAGACATTGTGACAACTCAAGGAGCACAATTTATCAGTGAGAGTTTAATTGGAGAAACTCAGACAAAAGGTGAGCGAGTATCCTGTTTATGCAAAGTTTATTGTCGCGTATTCCTTATACCTGTTCTAAACAAATTGTTCTATTAGAACTTAAAAGGAAAATGCAGAAACAACATTTTATTAGAAATTTCTGATAGAACAGGGTAAACCATATCGAATTATAAAGTGTAGGATTAGAAGTATCTTGTTATTACTTAGTTGTGTTGAACTGTCCCTGATTGTGTTGGCATGGCTGGAACAGGAACCGGAGGAGCTCAGTTTAATGCAAATCAACACATTTCTAAAATGAGCAAACAGTATGTGATCTACATTTTCCTTTTTATATTATTGGATTTTGTATTTATATTTTTTCATCATATATGAATATTCAATTATGTCCAACATGGGAATGGCATGATACGGACTAACTCGAAATTCCAGGGAACACAATGAAATCTTTAAGAGTTTCAATGAGATGGGTCTCCAAGAAAGCCTACTGAAGGGAATATATGCATACGGTAATTCTTATTTATCTTCTTTGTGTGTGTGTGTGTGTGAATTGCTGAGACAGTGTACCCCTTGCCTCTAATCTTTTTCTTTCAATGACTTGGCCTGACGCCGAGTGTTGACAAAAATGATGCTCCGTGTGATTTCCATGGTATCGAAAAGACCACACAATTTGTCCAGCTTACAGTCTTCCTTCTCAACGTGTGATTTCCATGTGTGTGTGTGTGTCTCAGCAGTTCTATGTTAACGTTGAGAAGGAAGACTGTAAGCTGGACAAATTGTGTGGTCTTTTCGACACCATGGAAATCACACGGAGCATCATTTTTGCCAACACTCGGTGTCAGGCCAAGTCATTGACAGAAAAGATTAGAGGCAAGGGGTACACTGTCTCAGCAATTCATGGAGGCACACACACATTCTAGGCAGCAATTTTTATTTGGCAGAGCTTTTACAAGAAACCCCCATTGTTCTTATCCCTTGATGTTATGTTTACAGATCTGGATAAGCCTTCTGCAGTCCATCAAAGAGGAATTGTCCCACTATGCAATGGTCTGGACATTATCCAGCAGTCACTGTTTGGAACAACTGTGACCTTGTGCTGTGGTATTCTGCAACGACTAGATTATGCATCTACAGAATGCCAGGCTTTGGTTCTTGTACCAACACATGACTTAGCACATGAGACTCAAAATGTTATTGGAGTACTTGGTCAATTCCTAAGTGCTAAAGCTCATGCTTTTTGTGGAGGGACTAGTGCCCATGAGGACCAGCAAATTCTGTCTACTGGAGTTCAGGTTGCTGTTGGCACCCCTTGTCACGTTCTTGGCATGCTGCAAGGTAGAGCACTCTGTCCAGATCACATTAGAATGTTTGTCTTGGATGAAGCGGATGAAGTACTGAGAGGTTTCAAGGACCAGGTTAGTTCTACACTCATTTGTAGCAATAACAAAGAATTACTGCACTGGGCAACCTAGTTACAAAGCATGCACTATTTGGGACTCCATTTCCACATGTAATTCTTACTAATGGTCATCTATCATCTTTGCAGATCCATGGTATTATCCAGTTTCTTCCAACCAAAACCCAGTTTGGGTTCTTCTCTGCTAGTATGTCCCATGAAGCTCTTGAGATGTGCCGCAAGTACATGAATAAGCCTGTGGAAATCATTGTGCCAAGAGATGAAGAACTTGAGGGTATCAATGTCAAGCAGTTCTATGTTAACGTTGAGAAGGAAGACTGTAAGCTGGACAAATTGTGTGGTCTTTTCGACACAATGGAAATCACACGGAGCATCATTTTTGTCAACACTCGGCATCATGCCAAGTCATTGACAGAAAAGATTAGAGGCAAGGGGTACACTGTCTCAGCAATTCATGGAGGCATACACCAAAGAGCCAGAGACAAAGCTGTTCAGGAGTTCCAGTCTGGATCATCCCGTATCCTCATCACCACTGATCTCCGTGGCATCGATGTTCTGCGTGCCCCTGCTGCCATCTTCTACGATCTGCCGACGCAACCAGTCTGCTACCTCCGTCATGTTCAAAGTGGGCAGCATGGACGGAAGGGTGTGGCCATCAGCTTCATAACTAGCACCGATGAGCGTGTGTTCTCTACCATCCAGAAGTTCTGCAACACCCAAATAGAGGAGCTACCCTCCAACGTTGCAGATCTCCTTTGAGAAGCGTTTACCCAATAGTCTTATCTCTATTGTCTGCATATGTTCCTAGTTGTGTTGATCAATTAGATTTGCAATTTTGCCTTAGGGACACTTTTCATGAATAGAAATCTTGGTTGGAATTGTATGGAATTTGAACTTCGATTTACCAGCTGTTTATCATCGCTCTATTATATATTGGCTGGACGTGCGGATTCAGTTGTTGCTCGAAATGTTTATATGTATTTATTCATTATTCTTAATGTTTTGATTTCTTCACTATGACCATACTATGTATGATGGCAGAACATGTGGTACAGACACAAATGTGCAAATGTGTTTGCTGATCAGCAAAATGTGGTGCGCACACATATTGGCATGTCAAACTATTTTGGTCTTCTTTTTAAGACTAAATATTTGTGGGCTTGGCTAGATCTTTACAAGATCAGCCGAAGGAAATGGCCGATTAAATTTCATTAAGATTGAGGATATATATACAAATGGCTTGGCTAAATTCAAAACAAGGCTGATGGGAATACCAAATTAGCATGTCATTGCAACACAAGAGAGGGACGCATTAATTAACCACACTGCTCCAACTCAAGACAAAAACACTTTCCATCCAAATCTTAGGGCGCCATCTAGAGTTGTAGGCACAGCACGAACGTGTACCACATCCACATCCATGATTAAATTCGAAACTAAATTATTACGAAGAGATCAATGATTTCGTTCTTTTTTTGGCAAAATTTTTTTAATAGAAGTTAAAAATCGCAGCAGAGCACACGCGATGCACAAGCAATTTAACCATCTATACAGAGTAAGATAGACAGATCTGAACTCACCTGATCGAGGAGCATGGTCGCTGCACCTGCACCAGATCCCAGCACGCGGCGACGACGGGCCAGCTTACTCCTCGGGCTGCTCCTCACGCGCGTGCAGAATAAGAAGGATCGCCGGCGCCGCCGACGGCGACCGCAGCTCAGCGACCATGCCGCCGGCGGCGACCCATCCGCGAGCGCCTGGCAGGTTGCCGAAGCAAAGCAAACCCTAGCGCGTGTGCTCGGACGAAACCCTAGTGGAGCAAGGGATCCATCCACCCACCATGGATCCGATCCGAGGCTGCTGCTTTTGCTCCCGCGATTCTCTCGACCCCGAGCTGAGCTCGCATCGCAGTCGCAGCGCACGCTGAGCTGAGCTGGGCTTTGTGGTCCTAAAAATTTGGAAACTATACTTCTCATGTATTTCTATGCTTTTTATTGGGAACTTTGGAATATAAGTGGGCCAAACGATTTGGAGTATTTGTGAACAAAATTTCAATTAAAACTTATTAAATATATGTCAGGGTTATAGATATCATATACCTAATAGTAGTTGACTAAATCTCGACAGGACCCACCACATACCATGTCCTATACGGAAACAACCTACGGATATATGAGGAGTTCCGGATAAGGAAAGGCAACCAAAGTTTTACATGGAAATGCCAAGGACTACTCGGATTGTATCCATATTGGTTTCCCTAGTTCTACTTGGACAAGGGGACACCTATGGGTATAAATACAAGACCCCTAAGAGGAGAGGGGACACACCCGCAAATCAACACCCACCACAATATACAGAACAACAGAAGCCACAACATACAAGCCAACATACGCCAAGACAAGACGTCAGATATCGACTTCAGGGATAAGCACGACTAGTCCCCTACGGTGTCACCGGATCCTGTCAGGAGAGACGAAAGCGTTATCTCTGATCTCGCCGGGCACGAACTCGAGGAGGAAGACTACCCTGTTGTCGACTACGAGTCAATACTACAGACCGCCAAGTCGACAACAGTTAGATAGGTTACCCCAAATATTGTACTAGTGTGATTATGATAAATAAGAGCAATGACCGGCTTCGGCCAACAGGATGTAGGGTTATTACCTAACAATTCAGGGGCCCGAACCTGTATAAAAATCCTCGTCTCTGTCTCTTTTACCTCAGTCTCGCGTATATCCTAGTACCGATGATCCCTATACCATGCAAATACCGGAATCGCGACATCAAACGTCGACAATATAAATACAATATAATTGTAGTATAATTTTATTGTAACTCGTATGTAACTTTTATATAGTTTTGAATCATTAGAGGTCCTCATTGGATGGCCAAATGCTTTGACTAATCAGCCATTTAAGCAAAATAAGCTAACCAATATGCATTGAATTTTGGCTGAATTGGAGGCAGCGGCTGATCAGTCAAAGCTTCTGGCCATCCGATGAGGCCGAGATTTAATTCAAATTCATGTATAGCGTGCGTACTCTGTCTCGAGACATGTGCTTCGCAGAAATAATATGTTACCACGGGATTTTTAAAAATTACATTTATACTATTTTTATATATGTTAAAGTTTTAGAAGAAAATTTGCTGATAAATGTTTAGATAGCCCTATGACCACATATTTACCCCCCTTCTGTTTTAAATAACTGTCGGTTTTACCACATAATTTGCTGGTTTGGTTGGTACAAAAATTTGAACTAAAAATCTCGGATGTTTTGCCACTCTATTAAATTGGTTTTTATTATTTGCAGTGGTGGGCATGGGATTTTGACGATGGGGGGCATAAAGTTAATCAAGCATTGTCCTGTGGGGAAAAAAATCTGAAGCTTCGTGACAGCGAAATTGAAGTGCAGGCTTTTGTTACTTGTGCAAATAAAAATTATTTGTATAGGAAATATATAATAGCTAAGAAAAATTTCAATACTCTTGGAAAGGCTGATTTGAGGTTGAAGAATGGTTATTTTGGCACAACAAATGGTATATTCCAACGTATAATAATAATAATAATAATAATAATAATAATAATAATAATAATAATAATAATAATAATAATAATAATAATAATAATAATAATAATAATAAATAAATAAATAAATAATAATCTAGTGTACACACCATGCACAATAACTAAAAAAATATCATAATTCTAGAAAATTTATATATATATACTTTTAGTAGTATTATATCTATGTGTAATGGGACCATTTTTAAGTTCATTATATATAGGAGCAAAAGAAAAAAACAAATCTAATAGGTTTATACTTTTAAAACTTTTAGATTTTTTATTTTTTTCAGAAAATATAATTAATGAGGTTAAGATTAAAGTGTAATACTATTGGAACTACATGTACAATTTTTTCTATAATTGTTGTAAAATTTATTAGTACGTGTACAGTGTGTATACGAGTTCGTGTACACATATATTCCCATTTATACATATTATATCTATTCAATTTCATGTTCTTTGGCAAAAATATTTAGAGTACAAATGGGGCTATACCATAAGCCCGCCACCAATTATTTGACACTAGCTCACATGGCATTGCCACATTGTGACAACATAATCAATGTAGCAAACGGATAGAGTAATAAAATCATTAATATTTTTCGGTCTATGTATGAAGCCTTACAAACGAGGTTTAATTTTGCTAGTTTAAATGCAACATTTCATTTTTTGCGCGGTTGAAAGGATTGCCTACTCATGAATCATGATCGCCACGATAAGGTCCATGTAACCAGATGGTTAAATGTCCACGATAAGTTTCACATAGTTTAAATGTGTATCTTACATTCTTCTTATTTAATCTAAATATGTGTCTTACATTTTAGAAAATTGAGTAGTTTTGCCTTTTATTCATTGCGTTGTCATCACCATTGTTGGTGTACTCGAGGTGAGTTTTGGGCATCCAACCTCCTCTCAGCACTCTACCTACTTACTTTCACCAACAATGATGTCCAGATAGCCAAATGGTAAGTGTAGTTTTATATCTAGTATCCCGCCATCTAAATATATACCTTCCTCCCTCTGTCCCTTTAAACTTGATGTTCTAACTTCTGGTTAGAGTACGAAGATAGTGCAAAAATAACATGTACTGCCCCTATACTTCTATCATTACTAGTACTAGACCTTAATGTCTGCTGGTTTGAGGTGAGAGAGCGGTGAGTGGTGTGGCAGAACGTCAGACTAATTGAGTTGTGGCAGAGTAGGTCTGAACTACGAAGACAGGCTCCCAGCGACACTCTTTGTGGGACATTGCTTCAGCGCTAAAACGACCTCCTTTTCGGGACGGAGGGAGTACTTTTTTATAGAAAAATGTGTATGTTACATTCTTAATAAAAATGATGGTTTTGCCTTTTTATCATTGTGCTACGATTTTGGTTTATTAATTTACATGGGCAGAATTTTGGTCATCCAACCTCCACTATTTCTTATGATCACCAGCGGTGAGATACAAATCAATAGATGGATTTGCTCACCATGGGCAAGGAGAATGGCTACTATCAAAATATTAATCCATATGTTAGAGATTGTAAGATGTCTTGTGTTTGAAAATTCAAACTAAGCGAGCTGTTGAATTTCCCTTTCCACCCCTCCTCCATCCAAACTAAGGACTCCTTTGTTATTGGACAACTAGTGTTGTCGCTCACCATCTGGAATCTTCGATGCCACCTCCAGTTGTTGACGGCTCGATGCAACTCATATGTGGTCCTATCTTTCTTGCTTCTACCGACCCTTGGTGGCACATCTCGCTGCTCACGGTGTTCTGACTTGACATTCACCCCTGACCCTGGCAGCGCAATGCTACTTGTTGCTATCCGCCACCTTCATTCTCACCATCACTCATGCAGCTAGGCAGCACGCAAGCAGGTTTAGAGCAGGCAACTAGAGTACCATACTTTGTTAACACTGTGCCACACACTGTCAGCACTACACCCCGGGAGACTGTCAGCACTACACCCCGGGAGACAGTTCGCGCTCACCACCCGCTCATGTATGCCCTTCGGTCTTGCCTCAACGAGCTTCGGGCGAGATTCTTGAGGAGAAGGTTAGTTTAGGAATATGTAGCTAGGGAATAGGATATTCTACAATCTAGTAGTAGTGTAGGATGGTCATAACGTCTTGCAATCTGTAATAGAGAGAGTACCTCAACTTGGATGTCTTCCATGTAGGGGTCGTAATGGGTCTAGGCTCATGGATCCTTTCATAACCTACCTAAGCATCGTATATTTTCATGTTAAAAATGACTAAAGTTCTAGCCCAACCTAATATAGATCCAACCCATCCCTACTTCTGTATTTACAACCAGACTTTTTTCGCAGAGATATGTATAGGAGAGCGCTACAAATCGGGCGTTTGTTATTTGCAAAACATTGCACGGTGTTGCAATATAGTGTTGCAAAATGTTTCATATATTGCACTACTCGATGAGAAATATTTTAGATGTTCCATCGATCGAGGGAAAATGTTTCATTGCTTGAACGTAAGTGCTTCAACCAAAACACAACATTCGAAACATATTGATTGCAACGTATGCAACATTGACTCAAAACAAAATGAAACGTCTTAATACAATACAATATAGTGTAAAAAAGTAAAACTCCAACAAAATAGACCCACCTTCATCTTCTTCCACTCCAGCCACTACAACCGCCAATGCATCCGGGGAGAGGGAGGATGATCACCACCGTCGTCCTATCTCACCCTACCCCGTCGTCGGCAATGACGAGGTCCTTCACCACCATGTAACCACCGAGACCCTACCCCATCGTCGGCAATGACGAGGTCCTTCAACACCACGTAGCCACTGAGAGAATGGCTTCGCATTGTTAGTCTTTCGGAGAGAGGGCGGGGGGTTGATTGTCACATCATCCTGTCTGTCGTCGGCAATGACAAGGTCCTTCACCACCATAGCCACCGAGACAATGGCTTTGCAGTGTTAGTCTTTAAGGAAAATAAGAAATGAAGGAAACGTGTGGTGGATTACGTAGTTGCGGTAGTGAGAAGGACGATTACATCCAATATTTTGGAGTCATCAAGACGTCCGTCCCTAAGCGTTTTCAAGATGCCTCTTAAGCGTATCTAGACACAATTGAGGTGGAAGAAACGGCCATCCAGCCATCCCGGCAGTCTATCTCAAGGGCAAACAATCAGCACTCAATCACACTCTCCCATGATCCCATCAACTCATCACATTTTCACATCAGCCTCGTACACAGGTTACTGACAACTGAGTATAATCAGACGGACATATGTATTGCAGTGGACCATGCATTCTTCACTGCCGTAAGAAATACAGAGCGCAGAACAATGATATACAGAGATTATAGCAGCAAGGTCAATAAAAACAGTCAAATTAGAAGATTTAAGCAAATCCGTTAACGGTTCCCTTACATATAAGGGCAGATGGCAACAGTTAGCTGCTTGCGAAGGCAATGTCACTACCGCACAAAATATAATAGGTCAATCATACCAATACTGTTCCTAACACAAAAGGCTTTGTTTGAGGGTTCTAATTCTCTCAGCATATGAAAACTAACGGAATACAACATAGCTTTCATGTGTAGCTTCTACAGCAGACTACGGATGGGTTCAGCGACTAAAATTACACAGTTGGTCCAGTTACGAGATAATTTGATGAAACTAAATAAATGTTCTGGTGCCGCTGATTGAGTAACCCAAGATAAAACGCTGATTTTCCAGGAGGTGCACTTATTGTATCCTAGAAAAAACTCTCATGAGTTCACTCATTTCCCATATGGATGGTACCTGCTGGAACCCCGCCCACCAGCACCTCCTGCTCCAGCTCCACCATAACTGCCATATCCTCCAGCACCACCATAGGCACCCGGAGCGCCACCATAGGCACCACCACCATAAGCACCTCCGCCATAGGCACCCCCTCCATAGGCACCACCACCATATGCCCCATAAGCACCATAGGCACCTCCATACAAGGAGCCACCATAACCACCACCATATCCTGATCCAAATCCAGCATTACCTCCATAGCCATACCCTCCTCTGCCATAACCATATGCAGTACTATCATAATAACCTCCTCCAGCTGATCGGTAACCAGCACCATACCCATAGCCACCACTGCTGCCACTGCCGCCACCACCACCTCCGCCTCCACCACCAGAAGCAGCAGCTCCACCACTACGGTATGAACTGCGGTAACCACCCCCGCTCCCATGACTAGATCTCCCATTACTACTGTGATCACCACCATGTTTCTTTGGCTCAGCCTTCTTTATTTCAACCTGAAAATTAGAAGAGTACAAAATAGAGAAGATTATCAAGCTACCGTTCAAGGGTACAACAAAAGTCATGTTGACCAACGCTACCACTTATGAGATTAATTTCCAGATCATTTGACCCAGCAAACAATTGAGTAGCAAAGCACATGTTACAGACAATGGAACATAAATTGATTAGTATCGAGAAAAGATGAAAAGGAAATCCACAGAAACACCAACTGCTGCTAGATGCTCAGGCACTCCATTCATAATTGAAAGCAACCTTGACAACTTAGATTTACAATGTGACCTGTCTATTTCTTTCAGCATATGAGCGTCTCTAAGTTTATTACCATTTTCCCTTTGTTTCCATGTTTCCTACTAAATGTTCATACAGAACCAGAAGGCGTGCACATGATGATTGTAAACGTGTTTAACACAAGTCGCCAAGTTGGTAACTACCCAAGAAAGTCTGCAAACAATTAAAGAAGTTTCTAACCTGCTTTCCACCAAGGTCACGCATTCTTCCCTCTGATATAACCCTTTCCACAGAATCCTCACTTTCAAAAGTGACAAAACCAAATCCTCTAGAACGCCCAGTGCTATGATCAAGCATTATTTGATGTTCAACAATCTTACCATATGGGGAGAAGTGCTCCCTCAACTCATCTAAAATTTAATATCTTGTCAGTTTTCATTGTAACTACAAATCGTTGAAGATTTTTATCTGTAAGTCTAATAAGTACCTTCAGTTAGTGATGAAGGTAATCCACCAACAAAGATTTTCCTTGTCTTTGGACCATCTTTTGATGACATTTCTTCCCTTGGGACTGTCCTTTTAACTTCAACCTGAACAAATAAAAGTTAAGCAAGATAAAGAGAAGCCAAGATAAACCCAAAGTGCGACTTTGCAAAAGAGTGTCAACTGTAGACTGAAGTCCCACGTAACGGCTGATCTAAATCAAGATGTCCTACCGTTCTTCCATCTATAACGTGCTCATCCTCCAAAACCTTGTCTATAACAGATGGATCGGAAAATGTAACAAATCCAAATCCACGAGGCATCTTAGTATGCTTGTCCTTCATAATTACAGAATCAGTTATAGCCCCATACTTCTCAAAATGCTTGGAGAATGATTCTACATACAAACAAATAAACCATACAGCTTTGTCAAATGGGAAAAAGGAATTATCAGCAAAAGAAAGAAAATTGGGTAGGCAAACAACAGAGTATTGAAGAAATAGCATGGTGAGTCGGGATTAGGTCATGATAGAAAAGCAAATCACAAGGGCAGAAAGCATAGAGATCTCCATTCAGAAATCATGGATAATATTAGATGCACTAATGCAAGTCTACATGCCCCGAAAGCTCGCACTATCACTTGTTACAAATCATTTTAATCTGGTCACAGAAAGCAAATGCAGTGTAAATATGCTAGCAATCACAGGATTAAATGATCATGTGCTAGTTATTAGTACCATTTTCTACCTTGTTAATTTGATATAAATAAGCGAATATTGGCACAATATCTCATAGTACAATTAGTCCCATATCGATCAACAAAAAAAGGAGTGCAATTTGAGAACCCACAGCACAATTTAACAACAAAAATCCATATACACAAGAACTAGAAGACATGAGAGATTAAACAAGTTCCTTCTTGTTAGTATACCTTTCATACAAATATATGGACTTAAGTGAGTGAACAGAATACAGATGGTGCAATAGAATGCAGAAAACAAATCAACACAGGATGCAGAACAACACAGCTATACAGGTAAACTGATAAGCATATACATCCATATAATGGTCCCCAAGGCCCAAACTCTTGTGGTTCAGTATGGGTCTAATAGTATTTTGACTAAATATCAAAAATTAAAAACTACATTCAAGAGTTATGCAAAGAGAAGTCTGGTTTTGGCAGCGATAAACACATAAGTTATTTGGAAGACACAGCAACCGTATTGTGCACACAAATTTGTATGACCCTTGTGTCACACAGATCATACTGTCCCTGCTAAAACGTACAAAATGCAGAAACGTATGAAACCTAACAGGCTCACAAACATCACAGCACCAACACAAAGAAACCATAAAAACAAATTGATTAACCTAAGCCCAAATCACAAAACAACACAACATAAAAGGGCAGTTTTGGATCCACTAAATTTATATCCAATTTTGGGCAGAGTAACACAAGTCATATCTTACAACAGCACAGTAACAAAGAACGATAAATTTCAGTAAGAATGCCAGATAATATCATCCTTATCTTGAGCCTACTATTACTGCGTGTTTTTCTACCAATGTTACTTTCACAATTTTCCACAAAGATGCTGTAGAACTTCCTCCACACCACAGCTTGAAGCTGGAACTAACGTAAACAGCGTCCTAGAAAAAAAGTTAATCCTATGGTGCGCTACGAGTACTAAATTATAATAAAGCAAAGCCATCGACCGTTCACCTTCGGTTGTCTCCCAAGCAACGCCTCCGACGAAAATCTTCCTGCAAAAAAAGAACAAAACAGTTACATCAGCTCTCAAACCCCCTCTCCCAAATCCGAAAAATCCGAAACAAACCCCCAAAATCCCTAGCCCAAGCCACGAAGCCACCCACCCCGACGAGTCCCCGCCGGGCGCCCTCCCGTCGTCCCCGCTGGCGTCGCCATACGCGCCGCCATCGCCCCCATCCCGACCGCCGCCGCCCCGTCTACCGGGTCGACCCTCCTCGTCGAACCCCTCCACCTCCTCCACCTCCTCCTCCTCCTCGTACCCGTTCATCCCGTGCTGGTTCTCCTCCGGGTACCCCGCCATCCCACACAACAACAACAGCAAGCTCGCCTCCGCCGCCGCCGCCGCCGACGCCGATGCCCCTGCAACCGGGCACAGAAGAAATCTGAGCAAAAGTGACGAAACCCTAGCTCGCGGAGGAGGAGGAGGAGAGGGGCGCGGCGGATTACCTCGGAGGCGGATCGATCGGAGGAAGGGAGGGTGGTGGGGGGGTTTGGAGGTGGAGGAAACCCTAGGCTTCGCGTGCGGGTTTAGAGGGGGGTGGGAGATTGGATGGATGGAGGAGGCGGCGGCGAGGTGAGAGGGGGGGAGTCCAACGCGTAAACCGCTCGAGGGCTCGGGGTTCGGGGCTTATAAAGCCAGCCGTGCACGCCTCCTCGGCTCCTCGCCCGCCCAAGCCCAGCGAAGTGGAAAAACAAGGCCTGAAGGAGGCACGAATGCACAGGATAGGATACAGTCGAATGAGGATCCCCTGCAAACTGCACCACGCGAGGGGATCTGTTTCCGATACAGTCATTCGCCGTATTAACTTCTAAAGTTTTTTTCCGAACTTCTAACTTTTTTATCACATAAAAACTTTTTTACACATATAAACTTTTAACTTTTCCGTCATATCGTTCCAATTTCAACCAAACTTTTAATTTTGTTGTGAACTTAACACAGCCTACCTATTGTGATTAAAATTTCTCGTGGCAGATTTTATTGGGCACATTTGACTATTCAAACCGGAGTTGTTTTGGCTGAGCAAAGTAGTATACACTCGTAATATGCATATATTCATATCTATGAACACATGTACGCATACTTTGCCTTTTTTTTATACGACTGACGTATTTTTTATTAAGATTGTGAAAATTTTACATCACGCGTTACAAGCAGAGAGGAAAAACGGCAAGAAAGAAAGAAAGAGTGCTAGATGGTTATCGCTCGTAACTAAAAGAAAAGAACGACCGGCAGAAGGGGGTAGCTAGGACAGAAGCCCAGTCACTCGCTATAAGGTTGCCTCTTCCGTAGCGGTTGCAGCCACCTTGCTCTAGGTCTGAGCTTCGCTATTAAGCACTCTATTGTTGTGCTCCTTTCACATTGACTAGGTTGCAAGAGTGACCACTTTGCCAAATGCCCTCTCCTGAGGTTGTTTACAATCTTCGGACGACTCTCATCCCTCCAGCTCATGAATGAGGTATGCGCCACGGGGAAGCAGTTCGGGCGGGCCAATGGTAGTAAGCACCTTTCACTAGAATTGTAGGGATTCTGAGCACGCAATGAGGATATGATCAATTATCTCCTCCTATTGATCATAGAAGACACAATAATAAAAATTGGTGGGGCCCATTTGGCTCCACATGTCATCCCTATTCTCTCTATCCTCTCTCTCGCCTGGGTGGAGCAAGGTGGGTGGTGGCCGGAGCAGGTCAGCTAAGCAGAGCAGCGTGGCCGGAGCAAGCCGGCACAGGCGAGGGGCAAGGCGGTGGAGGACGACGACAACAACGCCAGCGCCATGGACGATGTCGAGTTGGGGTTCGTTGACCCAGACATAGTGGAAAGGTGATCCCACCACCGCCGTTGCTGCCATCGAGGCCGTGCCGAATGAGGACGTCACCCGTTGTACTCCTCCTGTGTGCCGCCGCCCTGGGAGATGTTCGTGGCCATGTGGCCCTTCTCACCGCACTTGGAGCACGCACAACCGCTTCCTCCGCTATTGTTCTTGCTGATGCCTCCATAGCCGTGGTCGCCCTCGCCGTAACCTCCGTCCCCGCCGCCGCTGGGATGTGATCTGCCGGTGAGCGTGCCGCCACCTGGCGTGGTGACGTCCACGACCTTGGTGTGGCCGTCATTGCCGGATCCGATGGATAACTCATTGCTGTAGTTGAGCTCTAGTAGCCGTTGAACTTGAGGGGGGGCTTGTGGGTGAACAGGTCCTCCGCCGCCCTACTCACCCTTCCCACTCCCATTCACCTAGGGCGACCTCGACTCCTACATCTCCTCGAGGCGGCCCGCCCAGTGCTTTGCAGGTCTTGTCACGGCCGCCACAAGCGACGTCGGGAAGGGCTGGCCGCCGCCCCCTGCCCTTCGCCCCGCTGGTCGCCGCCCTTCTCCCTCTCTGTGTGCGCTTATCGGCTGACAAGGAATGTCGAGGAGGGAGCAAGGATGGCCGGAGGGAGAGAGGAGGAGGCGCTCGCCGTGTAGGTAGAGAGTGTGTGGGACTCAATGACATGTGGGTCCCATTGTTTTTTGTCTGACTGGTATGTGGGCCCCACATTTTGTTTTAATATTTAACTTTTATATTTTGCTTTCAGTGCCACATCACTGTCACGTAGGATGAGCACTAAGTCAAACCAGCCACGTAGACGTCATGTCAGCCAAAACTACTGTCTAAACCACCGAGAGATCTCGTCTGCACCGATTTTAATAATGGAGGGACTTGTTGTATATGGTATCGAGGTTCAGGGACGAAAATCGAACTCGTTACAAAGGAAAGGGACCTCAAATGAACTTATTCCAAGGTAAAAAGTCCTCTTCCTCCCTCCACAGCTAACCATGCCTCTCGATTGGAGGAGAGAGGGTGGGCCTACTGGGCGACAGCCCGCGGCCCAGTTATCCCCCTCTCCACACCTAATCCAACCTTTCTCTCTCTCTACCTAATCTGATTATCACGCTGTTTCTGTCCACCTACCCATCCGTCAACCGTGTGCGCGAGCGACGACTCCCTCCGGCGACTCGCTCCAGTTTCCTCTGGCTTCAGCGACAGGGGAGCGGGGACGACGGCCTCTCTCCGGCGACCTCCCTCCGCCGCCAAATCCACATCCAGGCCAGCTTCCATTCTTCTCCCTGCATTGTGCAGTCCACTCTGAGAACGAACGAGTCAAACTCGACTACTCGTGTTGTTTGGAGTAGTTTATTGCTAGTACTGGTTAGTACTGTCCATCTACTGCGATTATAATGGATAGATGATGAATTATTGCGTGGGCCCCCACAACTAATGGACGTGGCCATAAAACGCGCTCGATTTCTGTGCCCGCACGTTTCGTCCTCCTCCAATTTTCACAACCAGTTCGAACGGTTTCAATTTCCTCGTGTTTTCCTGCCTCCTCCTCCTCCTCCTCGTCCTCTTCTCCCCCCATTTCCCTTGAGGGCGCAGCAGATCTGCGGCGAGGAACGACGAGGATGGTGAAGGTGAACTGGGAGCTGCAGGGATGCTGCGACCGCGACCAGAAGATCTTCATAGCCGCCGTCGGCGTCTCCACCGTCGTCATCCTCCTCGTGAGCACACCCTCCCTAGCTCCGTCCTTCTCCCTGCTTTGCTTGGTTTGGTTGTGTTGTGTTGCTTCTGAATCGGGTTCGTTGTGTGTGGGGGGTTTGGGTTTTTGCTCTGCCTTTGGATTGCAGCTGTGGAGGACGTTCCTGCTCACGCCCTTCAAACTCATCACCGTCTTCCTCCACGAGACCAGCCACGCCCTCGCCTGCAAGCTCACCTGCGGAGATGTAAGTAAGCACACGCCCTTCCCCACTTACTACTTGTTACTGCGCTTTTATTGCGGCCGATGATGGATCGTGCTGTTTTTCTTTTTCTTTTTTGGGTTTTGGGATGGTATGGTGCGGATTGTGCTGTGATATGGTGATATTGTCGTGCCATTGCAATTCATCGAATTGATGGTAGTAATTCAAGGTCTGATTGGACTTGATCGTGTAAGGGTGGGAAGCGAGGGGGGTTTTGCCCATCATTTTGTGTTGGTATTTGGTAGGTGATTAGGTACCTTTCAGCAAAAGTAGGTATAGTGATGGTTGATTCCATATCGCATAATGTGGAGGGCCTTCTTACTTTTATTTATTTTTAGATGGGGAATGTTTGTTTAGAGTATATACTATGCATCTTTGCATTCGTCTAGAAAGAAGGATTTCAATTATAATCTGGACATTAGGAAGTAGCCTTTTTTCCCCCTCCTCCTTTTGTCCACAATTATCGTTTGCCACAACTGCACATTTCATCATCATTCAATTGTGGAGTTCTGTTGAAAGATTGTGAATTTTCTATAGCATAGTCATGTTTGGCCACTTAGGAATTTTCCTATGCTCCAGAGGTTTGTCGCTAGGTGACTTCAAATTGAATCTTGCCTTACATTGTTTGTTGCATGATGTGAACAATGCATGCATCCACAATCCCTCGGTTTGCAACTAGGGAGATAACTGCAGGAGATTAGGTGTAAATTAGGCTATGGACATGTCTGTTATAGCCAATCATGATGAACACTCATTCTAGTTCAATCGTCACTGTGTTAATGAACTGGAGTTTTAGAATTTATATGGTTATTATGTGTACTGTAGCACATACCTAGGCTTTGCTTTTGTTTCTCCCTTATTTTCCATGTAAACTTCCTTGGATTTATTGCAATTTATTGTTGAAGAGCGCCAATTTTATCTGTGAACCCTGTTATAAATACTTAGTTCCTTGAACTAGTAGGATATTATTACTTCGGACATTTAGTATCTTCTTTTGTTTGTTTAGGGCTGTCCATTTGTTTTCCAAAACTTAGGTCCCCGTTTATGGAAATTCCTAGTGCTTTGCTGGTTTGAAAAGGTCTTTTTGTTCACTAGTCACCCACAATATTTGCTAGCTTCATGTGTTTTACTGTATCTGGACTTTGACAGTCCCTGATAAAATTTGCTTCAAATGTGATTGCCTTTTTCAGGTTGAGGGCATGCAGGTCCATCCTAATGAGGGCGGTGTTACTCAAACTCGGGGCGGCATATATTGGATAATCTTGCCTGCTGGATGTATATCACTTATGTATTCCTTTCAGTGTACTTCATTTGGTTGTGTTCATCTTTTGTAAAAAAAAAAGGTTTTGCTATTTTCCAAATTGATTAGTACACAATATTTAAGAGATTGGTTCTGGATAAACACCAATCAAGATGATAATGTCTGAACGATCTCTCACTATATTGTCTAGGCTGTCCTAGGTTCCTGTGGACACCTCAATAACTTTATTAATACCTTTCAACCAAAAAGTGAAATTATTACTTTGAAATTTTTATATAAATACACAATCCTATTATCCTGTTTACCCCCTTGTTGATTTTATGCTGTACATGTTTCCTTTAGGTGATACTTCTTTGGTGTTTCATTGTTGTGAAGTCATTGTTTTGTTCCATGTGCAGATCTGGGTTCATCATTTTGGGGAATGGTCTTCATACTGGCTTCCACAAATCTCCTCACTACTAGAATTGCAGCGGGTTGCTTCATTCTTGCATTAATCGTTGTTCTTTTTGTTGCTAAAAATGTATGTCCACTACTTTGTTGTTTCAACTTTGATTTCTTTAAGTGTCTTTTGCTGCTTGTTTTCACACAATAATCATGTGTTGTTATCTCTTGCTCGGATCATGCAGTGGTTTCTTCGCTGGCTCTGCATTGGTACGTACAAAGATGACCTCATCTTCGTTTAGAAGTTTGCTACGACACATACTATTTACATTGAAACTTTTCAGGTTTCATCGTATTCCTTGCTGTTGTTTGGGTCATTCAAGAATTCACAAAATTCCATAGTCTCAAGTATGTAATTTTATTCATAGGTGAGACTGAAGACGCCCCCCCCTCCCCCCATAGGCCAATATCTTTTTGGGGGTTCGGTTATCATTGCAAACACTAATTGTATGTTAGAAAGTAGTTCTTATGTTTGTTTTCATCTTACAGGTGTGATGAATAGCTTGTTTTCAGTCTACGGTAAGAACAAAAATCATACTGATGTTATTTGATGATAGAATAAGTAATGGATTAACAACTGCACTTGTTAGTAATCTTGTTGTGTTTATCTAGATATCTATGATGACTTGATATCACGAAGAGTTCATTCAAGTGATGCTGAGAAATTTGCTGAAATCTGCCCATGTCCTTGCAATGGTTGTGCATGGGGTGTCATATGGTGTGCTCTTTATTCAGTCATGTCCTTGTATTTCGTGATATTGTATGATGATTATCCTGGCACTAAAAACTTAATTGGAATTGCTATTCTCTGTTTCAGGGGCTTCATCTCGTTTATCTTTCTTTGCGCATCAATATACCTTGGACTGGTTATATTGTCTTGAGGTAATTATGTCATTATATTATTACAATCTGCTATGCTATTGTTGTATTAACATGCTTGTTGTCAGAGCAAAAGCAGTGTGGCACCCAATTACAGGAGGCTTAGCTTTATCGTAGGATTAAACTATTACAATATGCGGTGTTACAATATTTTTATAACAAAATAGGCATGCGGTCTGCTGTGTGAATCATGACATAACATGAAATTACCTTCACCTGACAATTTAAAGAAAATGTTTTGGTAAAAGAAGATTGTATTGATAGCTAAAATTGGCAATGAGTTCCATTCCCTTTCAGGCACTAGCTAGATAAATTGAATTTCCTTGTTCATATGCCTTCCAATTCATCAAAGAATTTAAGCTGTTGAGAACTGTAATATATAGCTCAGCCTTGACTCTTGAAGGATAATCCCTGTTTTTCTCTTTGGCCTTCAAGGCTTCAATATGAAGGCTGACGTTTCAGCCTTGTATGTTTTGAAACAATATGTTGGTAGTTTAACTCTTTAGCCTTCTTTTTTTTTTTTAGAGAAAGGCAGTACTGCCCAGCTTTTTATATAAATATAATATGTCTCAGGTACTGCTCTTTAGTCTTCTTTGCCATGTGCTAACTTGGTGTACTTTTTTTTGTTCAGGATTCCAATCTTCCATATACCATTTTGATATGAGAACCAAGTCAAGCTGTGCTCTCCTGTATTTGCATTGCTCTGGATGTTGGCTCCAGCTTGTATTGATCTCATGTGTCATGAGTTGTAGAAAGTTCATACAAACGGCAATCGATTTATGCCAATTGGAGTTGATGGGATAGGGATTAGTCATTCGATTCTTCCATTTAGTGCTTCTGTAGATAGCATTCTGCTTATAGTTCATCTTCATAGCTGATTAGCTGTCATTTTAGTACTATCTCATCTCTTGAATTGTTACTATTCATCAACATATAGAAATTTACTCGACAGTACAATTCCTTTTGAGTTTGGACCAATTGTAGTAACTTTTTATCTTGTCGGATCTAAGCTCCAGGTGGCCTGCTTTGCTATTTGGAGTTTGCTCACTGTTGCAGAAAATGCTAAAATGTCTCGTTGCACAGTGAAGCAAGTGGCTTGCATAGTTGCATTGCCTCGAGGGAATGGTGTCTGCCCCCACTTGTGCGCCCTCGAGGCCCCCAGTCTAGCTTCGATGGATGATACTACAGTATGCAGTTATGATTTGTGAAGTGTTCACCTGTCGGGGTCCACTAGCCCAGGGTCCCAGGCTGAACTAGTGTCAGTGCATATGGTAAAAGCAGAATTTGCAGCACCTGCTGGACACCATTTTTGCCGGCAGTGTTGCTGTCCTAGAAGTTGGCTAATCACCGATTTCCTTCTGTTGCTATGATTAAGGTACGTCACATTGAATGTTTGGACACATGAATAAAGTATTAAATATAGATAAAAAACAACTAATTAAATAGATTGCGTGTAAATTGCGAGACGAATCTTTTAAGCCCAATTACACCATGTTTTGATGATGTGGTGCTACAGTAAATATTTACTAATGATGGATTAATTAGGCTTAATATATTCGTCTCGCGGTTTACAGGCGGATTCTGTAATTTGTTTTTTTATTAGACTACGTTTAATACTTCAAATGTGTATCCGTATATCCGATGTGACACGCCAAAACTTTACACCCCTGGATCTAAACACAGCCTAAGAGCAAATCCAGCGATCCGATTGTTGCAATCCCACTGGTGAAGCTGAGTGAAATGGATGTTACTCCTGTTTGGGGAGCTTTTAGCTACTGTAGCTTCTATCAGAATTAGAAGCTTCCTCAAACAGTCCAGCTTTTGGTCCAGATTCTGAGAAGCTGCAGCTGTAGAATGCAAAAAATAAACTAGAAGCCAGAAACTAGGAAACCCAACTTTTCTATATTCTCAGAAGCTGGCTACCAACCAGCTGTTTTTCATAATCTTAAGCTCCTCAAACATGCCTTAATAAATGGTACTTGTTACTCCCTCCGTCCCATAATATAGCAACCTAGTACCGGATTTGACATTTCATAGTACACCGAATCTGGACATGCGTCCCATAATATAGCAACCTAGTACCGGTGTACTATGAAATGTCCAATCCGATACTAGGTTGCTATATTATGGGACGGAAGGAGTACCAGGTAGTCTGGCTGGCTATGGCTGTAGTCCAGACGTCCACTACTCCCGGGGGTAGCTGATCAAGGCATGTGCTGATGCGTATGTTACCAACGGTCTTGCACCTATAATACTCATTTATCAAATCCAACTATATATATTCATCTGCATTGAATCGAATGACCCATATCTCCTCCACTCCGTGTACAGATCACTCCACCCCCTTCCCCCTCCCCTCATCCCCACGTTCATTCCCCTCTTGCACATGCCATAGGCCTAATCCCCTCTTGGGCACTCTTCCCTCTGATATGACGCCCCCGATGCTAGGTCGCTGTCGTGATCGCCTTCGCGAGCCACTGATCCTCCGCTGCCAGGTCACCGTCGCACCTTCCTCAGGTTGTTTTTGGTGTGGATCACCCACCGTTGTTGTTCCTGCTGCCTGGATCTTTGCTCAGTTGCCCTCCACTTCACTACGACTCGGACCCTGGCGGCGGTGAGGCGATCTTGAATGTGTTCTTCTATCGATTTCCTGTTTGATCTGGCAATTTGTTTTTGAGGTCATCATAATTATATATTTTTGTTTGCCTAGGGGACGAGGGTATTACTCGTAGAAAATCATATTCAAGAAAGTCAATTTTTCAGCAAATGCTTGTTCATAAGAAACTTAAATTGCTCGAAAGAAAGTTTTAGTAATAAATAAAGAAGATCGCTTCATGATTGTTTTTTTTACAAAAGCTAGGGGGACTAAGGCCCCCATCGGTTGGCTTTTTTTTTCTAATAAGGCAAAACGGTTTATCAGGGAATAAAAAAAATTATAGGTAAAACTTATATATATATATATATATATATATATATATATATATATATACATACATACATATATATATATATACATACATACATATATATATATATACATACATACATATATATATATATATACATACATACATATATATATATATACATACATACATATATATATATATATACATACATACATATATATATATATATACATACATACATATATATACATATATATATGTGTGTGTGTGTTTTAACTTAAAAGCCAATGCTGAAAAAAATACGTTGAAAATATATCAAAATTAATCTCAAAATTAAGTTTGAAAATTCAAAATTTGGCTTATTCTTTAGCTTATTGGGCCATCTGATGGGAGCCTAAGGTGTTGCCGTGTTGGGACCGATGGAAGGGGAGCCAACACAAGCGGTTGGTTGATTGTGGAAGCTGTCGGATGTCTTCATAGGGGGAGGAATATATTTATTTGCCAATTTGCGAAACAAATAATAGTGTTGCTACTCCCAACAGTTATCGGGTCATGTGAATGGGATAAATTTGAAGGAAAATTATGTTTGATGGCTGGTGTATAGGAATAGCTACTTTTTTATGGTTTGTAAGAGAAAATGGTAAAGTTCTACAGATATTGAGTTCTACTGTAAACGAGATATAGGTCAAACATTAGATGGTGATGGCGATGTATGGTTTGGATTTTGTCTACTTTCTGATTTGTGATACATGTGGAGTTGTATAGTTCAGAAAGACTCACGTAAGTTATATAATTAAAAGTATTATAACTCACTCAATTATTATCTTTTCAATATTAAACATATCTTATTTTTTCTTGATTGCCAAGACATATAGACTCTCTTGATTATTTGATTTGCATTACTGACTACTATCGTTAGCACGGATAGATAAATTACTCCATCCGTCCTGATATGTTACAACCTATGATAGGATTAGACCCATTCCATACGTCCACATTCGTAGTTGTAGTATAGGTCTAATCTCATCTTAAGTTGTCATCCTATGTTGCCAGTACATATTGAGACCGAGAGAGTACTAGTGTCAATAATCAGACTTGCTAAAAAAATGTGGCTGATCTCAATCGGCTTTACTGTGCGTCTGATTACTGTGCGCGAGACTACGTTTCAGTTGTGCTTGTTCGGACCTTTCGATTTCTTTTCAAAATCATCTCCTATAAAGTAAGGATTGCACATGCTTTTGCTTTTTAACTTTTCCAATGTAAGATTTAAATTTACACCCACTTATACTCCACTTACATTCCACTTAGGCACTTACACACCACTTACAAATATAATTACTATGTAATTTTAGAATTTATATTATAAATACACTAAATTTATATATGTAATTTAGAAAATTACAAAGTAAATACACGCTGACTAATTTTTTAAAAAATATGACACTATAGTTATTTCTGTCAATAATTTTCTTATGGTCAAACTATACTGGTGCCTGGGTGCCTTCCTGCTCGGTGGCATCGCCGACCAAAAACCTAGCGATTGACATCTCGGCCCCACCAAACTATGGGCCCACATGTCATTCCCTCCAATAACATCCGAGTGGACTAGCGCTCCCAACTCCCAAGTCCCAACTGCCAGCTCTGCCCACTTCTCGAAGCAAAAGCCCCACACAAAACTAAACAAAAAAAAAAAAAACGAAAGAAAAAAAAAAGAGAGAGGAGCAGCCGAGTCGGCCATGGCGCGGTCGCCGGCGGCGAGGAAGCCCTCGGCGGCGCAGACCGTCGCGGTGACGCTGGCGCTGGCGCTCGCCTCCGCGGGGCTCCTCTTCCTCCTGTTCCACCTCTCCCCGTCCAGCCCCACCCCGCACCCGCACCCGCACCGCCGCCTCCGCCTCCGCGGCGCGCGCGCCTCCCCCTCCCCGCGCGGCCAGATCCCGTTCGACCCCGTCATCGCGGGCCTCGAGCGCCGCCGCGACGACCGCGAGTGGGAGCGCCTCGCCGCCGCGGGGCTGCACGCGCCGGGGTTCGAGGCGGCGCCCGTCCCCGAGGACTACATCGACGGCGGCGGCGGCTTCGGCGCCGACCCCGACGAGGACTACATCAACGACGCCGCGCGGTTCAACCTGACGCGGCGGGTGGAGGCGCTGTTCCCCAAGATCGACGTCGACCCCGCCGACGGCGCCGTGACGCCCGCCGAGCTGACCGCCTGGAACCTCGCTTCCGCGCGCCGCGAGGTGATGCACCGCACCGCCAGGGAGCTCGACCTGCACGACCGCGACCACGACGGTCGCATCGCCTTCTCCGAGTACGAGCGCCCCAGCTGGGCATGGCGGTTCGATGGTACGTATGCGTATTCACATCTCTCGAGCTGACACCAGCCATCCAATTTTTGGTTCATTGAAGCGCAGCATTTGCCTCCTTAGAGACGCTAGTTGACTAGCTGCCTATCTTGGGTGAGCTCTCGCGATCTTGGTGTGTTGAATTTGGTGATCCATCAGTAGATTTTTGGTTCACTAGGTTTTTGGACTACCATTAACACGTTGTGATTTCAATTCATTTACAGAAAGAGGATGACTTCACACCTCAATGTAGGCATCATCGATTCAACCATAGCGCAGAAATAGAACTTTCAAAATTTCCCCAATTTTATTTGACTAGAAATGCTGTTTTACAAAGACATTCTGTCATCTTCTTTCATGAATTTCCTGCGGGGAGCTGATTTGGAGTGCTGTTTAATGAACTCTTAGGTCTTAACTTTTAATAAAATAGACCTAGACTATTTTCGGCTGTTCTTAGAAAATCTAATTAATTTACATACATTCTCCATGCCTGAACTTTACACATATCTGGTCTTCGGAGTTAGGTGCTCATGGGGAACTTTTTATTTTTCCTGCGATGGAATATAGTCTCCAATCGACATAATTTCAATCCTTATGTTGGAATTAAACTCTTATTGGTATTGTCCTACATTGGCCTTCTCAGCCCCATATATTCTAATGCTTGTGATTGGTACCAAACAATTGTTCATAAGCATATTTAAAAGTGCATTTTTGACATGTTTCATCCCTTGGTCGACTAGTAAACTTAGAATTAGAATTTTCATGTTATGTACATATTTAACAACAATTGGCATGTACAATCATCCTGGATAGTTCTGTGGATTGACCAAGTTCTATATATTACATGAAAAAGCTGTGTCTAACTACTCAAAATACACACAATAGGAATCATTAAATAAACTATGATCAGTTTCATCCAAATCCAAATGTTCTCATTTATGCGTTATCAATGTGAGCACTAAGTGTCATCTTTGTGCAGATCATAACTCATCCAATGATGGGGTGGGATGGTGGAAGGAGGAGCACTTTAATGCTTCGGATATGGACGGTGATGGCTTCCTAAATCTGATAGAGTTTAACGAGTATAACCTTTCCTCTGACTATCTATTAATCTTCTGGAGTTCCTTTCTTGTTTTACAGTATTTTCTTTGGTTTACTTTGTGCAGCTTCTTACATCCAGCCGATACTACGAACCCAAAGCTAATAAATTGGTTGTGCAAAGAAGAAGTCAGGTGCATCTTTCCCTCCAAACATTATTTCCTTACACATCTGCAAGTTCATATTCCATTTGTATCCTCCTCTTATTATAATTCAGTTCCGCACAAACAAAATGGAGATGAAAGATATTTTTTTTCTTGCTGAACTTAGAGAGTTAGAAACTACAAAAAAGAACAATTATGAAACTCTAGAACATATTCTTAGGTTATTACTTGCTGAAACAATGCCCTTGATGGAGTGATGCTACATTCTGGCTTGTGCATCACTATGTTGTGCAATGGTTATAATTGGAGCATTTCTTACTTTTCTTACTTCAGGTTGGTGATAGTACTGGGTATTCTTTAGAGTCTAGGTACTCTGTTAGTTGACTGTGTGAAACGGCTGCATGCATAAATGCTATTCATTGCTTGTAAGTTTTCAATAGTCAAAACAAGCAGGTTTAGGAATTGAATCTTGGGCTTCAATGAAATGTATGCTTTGAAGTTTGAGCAAAAAACCTTAAAAGGTGGTGGATTTTAAAATAAAAATCCTCGACAATATTCATTCCTTGGTTGAGGCCCTGCAACAATCACATCCCTTTTAGCTTACTTTATGGGGTCAGCTGGAAATTTCAACAATTTCAATATTTTAAGACCAATTTTTGTTCACTATTCAGGGAAAGAGATAAAGATAATGATGGAAAACTCAATTTTCAAGAGTTCTATAATGGATTATTTTACTCAATTCGGCATTTTGATGAGGAGGCTTCAACAGATGACTCCAATGCTTCTGATGCACCCGCAAGAAAATCATTTACACATCTTGATCTGGATAATGATGGGTATATTACAGCTCTAATGTTCTCTTGTTATCCTATATAAAGAATTCATAATTTCTGAGGATTGAGTTAGGAGGCTTACCCATTTTGCAGGCTTTTGTCAGCAGATGAGCTAAAACCTATTATTGGAAATCTCCACCCACCAGAACACTTCTATGCCAAGCAACAAGCTGACTATGTGATAACACAGGTAATACTGGCAGACTGTATCTCATTTTACTTTCAGGGTATCTTGGACTACCTTTCAGTCTAAAGCAGTCAGATTTTTTTATCTAGATTCTGGAGTCATAAAGTGTCACCAGTGTTTGTACAGCAACTTGCACTTTTTTATCGAAACATACAACTTCAATCAAGTCGAATGAGTGACTTAACAACATGTTTCACTTTGCTGGAAGGGTCTGATGATGTGCTAATCTAATAACCCATCTGCTGGTTTCTCCAATGTAGGCTGACACAAACAAAGATGGGCAACTGAGTTTGCAAGAGATGATTGAGAACCCATATGTATTCTACAGTGCTTTATTCACAGAAGATGATTATGGGTTTCATGATGAGCTTCGGTAGTTCCTGGATGGTATGTAAGAGACACAATAATGCACATTGTTTGCTTTATTAAAATCACTTAAATTTCACTAGCCCATGAATTTGCTATGTTTGCTTATCAGCAGGAGGTACTCAGGAATCACCCACCTATGGAACACTTCATTAGACATCGATGTGAATAGATAACTCCCATCATCTGTAGGTTTCACCTATGGGCTGCAAGAACATTCGAGGGTATATAATTTGAGCTGTTCTATCTGTTATTCATTTTTTCCTTTGCACTTTAGTCTAGAACACATTTGTCTCACCAATCTCGCTTTTTCTGGCAGGTGATTCCATGTATAACACGAGCGTGTTTCATGTACACAGTTCTATAAGTAGGGCGTTCTTTTGTAACCTTAACCTTTCTTGATTTATTTTCTTCATATGTATGATGAGGTAGCATTGGTTCTTTTATTTTTTTTTATTATTGCAAAGTAGAACTATATTTTTGGATCACACACTTGTAAAACTACACAACAAGAGAAGTGCAACCATAGGCTGCATATCAGCTTTCTTGAACTCATGATTGCGGAAACCTCGATCTTTTGGAAGTGTTCTTTTTTCCTCTCTTCTGCATGTGTGACAAATGCTGTCTATTTTCCAAGAAAAAAAAGACGCTGTTTTTTTTCTTTTTGCATTTGATGGCAGGTGCAATCAAATGATATGCAGGATGTTCCTTTTCTCTTTTTTTTTTGAAAGACTATTCAGTTCATTTCAAGGGACACATGTTTAACACTTTTCACACACTCAATTAGTTAACTCTCCAAACTTCTACTGTACATAATATAACTTGCTTTATACTTGAGAAATATCTGCAAGATTTCTAAATTACAAATTTAACTTGAAAATACAAACTAGCCAGATTTGCAATTTGCTCTCTTAGCAAACACACCACTAGCAGATTAGCAACACACATATACTGTACACATACTTCACACAGTGCTAGGCTCAGGCTGAGGTGAGCTCAGGTGTTGGTCCTCTTGATGGCCCTGAGCTTGACGCCATGGCGGAAGGCGAGGACGAGGTCGAAGTCGAACTGGAGGGGCGACTCCATCGCCGGCGAGTGGCGGAACACGTAGCGGCGGTAGAGGCCGACGGCGGCGAGCTTCACCTGCTGCAGCGCGAACCTGTGCCCCACGCACGCCCGTGGCCCGATCCCGAACGGGATGTGCGCGTACGGGTGCCTCGCCCTCTCCTCCGCCGCCCCCGCCGCGAACCTCTCCGGCCTGAACTCCTCCGGCTCCGGGAACTGCGCCGCGTCCCTCGCCAACACCCCCGGCGCCAGCCACACGTACGTCCCCTGCACCCACAACAACATCACAATCAAGAAACCACGAGCTAGAGTACGGTTCTTCTCTCTCACCCTATCCCTCAATCCCAAAGACATGGATAGAGTATGGTTCTGTGTCGATTGTAAGAGTTAGGTTTTGAACAATCCCGGCTGTACGTCCTTTGTTGGCTAGCGGTGGCCGGTCACATTTAGCGGCGGCCTGTCCGATGCTAGCCTTCTCCAAGATTTGTATGTTGGTGCTGTCGGTGCGCGGGTGGTGGTATAATTTTTTTTTCTTGGTTATGATCTCCTAGGGCTTGTAATTTTTTCATGCTCTATCAAGATGAATTTCGCGTTGTCTGGTGCGAGTTGTTAAAAAAAAAAAAGAAGCCACGAGCTCGCCGCCGGCGAGGTGGTGGTGACGTGGGTGTACCTTTGGGAGGAGGTGGCCGGCGATCTCGACGGGCTCGGAGGTCTCCCGGGCGATGAGCGGCGAGACGAGGTGGAAGCGCATGGCCTCCTTGATGACCTGGTTGAGGTAGGGGAGGCCGGCGTGGAGCTCGTCGGCGCCGGGGACGCGGCCGCGCGGCGCGAACCCGTCGATCTCCCGGAGGAGCCTCTCCTCCACGCGCGGGTGGCACGACACCAGGTACACCACCGACGACACCGTGAACGCCGTCGTCTTCGTCCCGGCGATCAGGTGCTCGTACGCCAGCGCCCGGACGTGCCGGTCCTCCAGCGCGAAGCCGCCGTGCCCGCCGCCGCCGCTCTCTCTCGCGTCAAGCAGCGCCGCGATGAAGTCCAGCGCCGCCCCGTCGCCGGCGTCGCGGTCACGCCGCCGGCCGGCGATGATGGCGTCGATGCGGCGGCACAGGCGGCGCTCGTTCTGGTCCATCTTGTAGTCCGCCGTGCCGGGGACACGGCGGAGCAGCCGCTTGCACGGCGTCTGGACGCACGGCAGGAAGAGGCCCAGGATGGTGGACAGCGAGCTGGACAGGTCCATCTTGATGAACTCCATGGACTTCTTGTACTCCCTCAAGAACTCCTTCACGTCGTCGTCGTCGTCGCCGTCTCCGTCGTCGCCGGCGGCGGTGTCGGCCGCCTTCCTGGACAGGCCGAACTCGATGCCGAACGCCGTCTTGCCGATGATGTCGATGGCCATGCACAGCGAGAGCTGGCAGAAGGGGATGCAGTCCTGGTCCGGGCACCCGGCGATGTTGTCCACCAGAGCGTCCACGTACGACTGCATCGTCGGGATGAGTCCGGCGAGCCTCGCCGGCTGGTACAGCGGGATCACCATGTTCCTCATCGACGACCACGTCGAGTCCCTGACACCACCAAAAATACCAGCATTGCAATACACACACATCAACACATTTGTTTTTCAGATTTCCGACAAAGAAACCAGCCTTTGCCTTCTCAGATTCTACTGGCATCTTGGGCACAGATAAGCATAGTTTTTTTTTTCTTTTTTCTTTTTTTTGAAACGATTAGCACCAAACAGTGCGAAGTTTACCTGGTGAGGAAGAGGGCATCCTGGTGAAGCGTGCCGACGTTGGGAGGCGGGGTGCTGCGGTTGCGGATGTCCTTGAACTTCTTGATGCCGACCTCCTTGCAGAGCTCAGCATTGGCCACAATCACCAGTGGCTGCCTCCCCATGTGAAACCTGCAAGCACAGTACAGCCTCCTCCATGAGCAACCAACTCTCAAGATTGGCATTCAGACATAACATGAAATTCTGTTCTGCTCCCATTATTAGCAGTTTAGCATCATTACCTGAAGATCGGACCGTACTCCTTCGTGATGGCGCGAAAGACGTCCGGCCCGTTCTTGGCGAGAAGATGAAGGTGGCCTATGGGGAACCTGGTTGGAGGCCCTGGAACTGTCCTCAAGCTCCAGAAAGGTGCATAGAAGTATACCAGAAACACAGCAAGCAGAGCCAGTGAAGATCCAAGCAGCAGGACAGGTAAACCTGGGGTTGCAACATGGCTGATTTCAAGTGCAATGGAGCAATTGCTTGCCTCCATGGAAGATGCTTGCATGCTCACAAGTTTGCAATGGAGAGTTTGCTAGCTCGCTGGCTGCTTCTGGTGCCTGGATTGGTGCTGCTCATGCCAATTTAAACGTGAGGCACGAGTGATTGTCCTCTTCATGCTGCTATTCCCAGGACTTGCTGTAGCAGCGGGGAGCCGTTCCAGAGAGGGGCGATAGAGAACGTGTGGTGACACGCGTCACACACCAGCAGTTCTTGACCTGTGTAAGACCAGTGAAAAATCGAGTAATTTCATTGTAAGCAAAGCGTTTTTGAATTCTAAAAAAGTGCTGAACTTTCATTTACAACCAATCGTTAGCAATAGCATTTCAACAGACTGTCTACAGCCAAAAGTTTACATACAATAGCAGATTTCTTATCCCTGATTTACCACCTTATCTTTGACTATACCAATATTTGCTTGATCAATTGGCCTAACTACTATATACACACACAAACGCACACACACTACTTGCATTACCTACAAGTTTTTTAATTGCAACTATAGTTTTGTTAACAGGAGAAAATCAATTTCATCACCAGCTGTTATTTTATACCTTTTATAACCGAAAAACAGGGAGAAATTGTGCGGACAAATAGCAATAATATAAAACGAGTGCAGTAGTCAAATTGTGATTTTTTTCTACAAAGTGCCCACTCATCTATCTGAACCCGCATATTGAATTCCACTTAAACCTGCAGCCATCATAAATACGACAGCACAAACTGAAGGAAGCAGAAACGTAGGGATCGTTCTTCGCATATCCTTTTCGGATGGAATTGGGTTCTATGGTTCAGCCATTGGTTTCTTTCTCATAATTAAAGCACATGTGCAGTGACAACAAGGATATCTCTGATGGCAACCATGAAGGCATTGGAATGGGGAATCAAATGGATACCAGTACACCCATTTTAGCACTGTAATTTGGTCAAAAAATTTTACACTGGCTAGTATCACTGCTTTGCAATCTTGGCCAGTGTGACAGTCAAAATGGCTGTCAATATTGCCGTGTGAAAAGAATAAACTTTGAAAGTATCTCTCAAGATTCCCAGTGGGATGGAATTGACACCAGGATTCTGACAAGGATGGTATTAGCACCACGATACTTGGGGGGCTAGGATCTTCCACACTTTTTGTGGTGCTATGCTTTATGCATTATAAGCTCAACAATGTGCATGTGTCACTCGTAGGTCAGATCATTTTCTTTTCTGCTAGTTTGCATGTTAACTCACTAATCCACCATGCCACATGTTGTACACAAGTAAGTGGAAAATTATTCGTGAATCATGAAAGTTTTGAATATCCAACCTTAACCGTACCTCGTGGGATTCGATTAGACATACTGACGTCAGTTGAAAATTATGCCAAAAACAGCAATTTTTTCAATAAGAGTCGTCGAAAGCACCAGGTCACATATTTTATCGTCAAGTTCTCATTTGTTGCGAAATATATCACGCGTTTTAAAATATCACTTCAAAATTGATAATAATTGGTCGAACAAATTGCAAATCAGTTCAATTCTATGGGATCACATAAAGTCCATACCTTTATAAGAAAACCAGGTATTGGCAGTTACCATCTGGTTACTAGCATTCCTCCCTTCCCCAGTTGATTCCTGATGATGTAGTACAGCAGCAGCATCAGTATTAGTAGGTGTTTGGGAGATTCCACGATCCCAGTTCCCTTCAGCATGGCCTACAAAATGAAAAACAATGGTCCACATTCTCTGGATATTGGTTGCAGGGTTAACACTGATTCTCCTGTTGCCATCTCCCAGAGGAAATATTCTCTCCTCGATGTACTCTTTTCTTCAAGGCTGACAGAGCCCTGTTCTTTTCCAGCCATCATGGGGCCCAGCTCTGTTCTTTTCCAAACTAAGACGTTGTGCTTGTAGTATACAAACATGTTCCATTTCCAGCTCTGTTCCATTTTAGATTTATAAGGTTATTACAACAGTGTAATGTTTTCTTCTCATCTATTCAGTCCACTTAGCAAGTTGTTGATAAATGCTATCTAACTAAAACTTTGGTTTAAGTTTCTCTCTCGATATTTTCTGTTTCCATCTATTAAAAAGATGAAGGCTCCTCTTTAGTTCTACAAAAATACATGTAGTGGTACGGTAATATACATGTTTAATTACTATGAGCTAATTTGCGCTGCAACTCCTCCACTTGATTCATGGTAATGCCCCAGAATTTTGACATTACAGGGCTAAGCACATTTCGGACCACGCAGAAATATCTAGTCCAGAAGTGTAAAAGAAGACATATGACAAAGCACAGAGAGATAAATATATTTCAGAGTTCACTTGCTCTGGTCTCCTTTACCAAAGGTAAAAGTCATTAAATACCTGAATCATGAGAACTCATAAGGTACCCATGCATGGATCAAATGGGAGAATGCTTAACCTATTCAGATTCTAATCTTATTTTGAATTGATTTTACCTATCACAACTAGCACTCATCAAATAGCCCTCTAATCAACAAGAAATCAGGGAAAAAAAAGAGAGGAAAAGATGACTGAAGATATTTCGTAGGCTGATAGGCTCTATCAAGAACCTAAGATATTCGTGGACACCCACCAAAAAGGAAGAAAAATACTCCAGCTGCACAATAGTTTCCATTAAAAATGAGTGAATGATACACGGGCCAACAAAGGTGACCGACAACCTGTCACTTTTTGACCCTACGTGCAAATGCACGAGACTGAGAACAACCATAGTTAAACCATAGATCCAATGCATAGTGTACCATGAACAATCTCTCGGTTGTGTATCAGTTGTCATGACAAGAAACTGGGTCCCAAAACTGAATCGAATGAGTAATTTATGGATTAAAGTGACTCCACGGAGCTATATTACCATGCCATTGAAGTAAAAAGTAAGTCAAGTGAAGTGACTAGATGTACTGCAGCAAGCCCTATGGCATGAAGCTTTACTATTTTTAACATAATTTGGCATCGATGCTGTGGCATTCAATCTCCAGTATCAGTTTTTGCATTGCATGAAGCAATTGAAAGAGGATAAAGGCACACAACTTTTGTTCACCAGTTTAGAGCCCTTCAGTACAATATTAGGGTTGATGGTAACAGGAAAAGGTCAATAGTAAAAGAACCCAACTTGGACAATTATTGTACCAAGTCACCAGGGAGATGGGGGAATCTCCAGCTGTTGACGTTTTGCACAGCTTGTAATATGTGCGCAAATTTTTAATTTGTGCCCCTGAATTTCACAACTCTCTTTTTCTGACAATGATGTGCATAAACCCCTCATTCCTGGACATGCAACCTGATGGCTCAGTGTTTGGCGATGAATGTTGGGGAGGCTCTTCCTCTGTAGGCTAAGGTAGTGGGCCAGCGGCCGTATCTCAGTAGGCAGATAGCTAGGTAAGTATGTATGACTTGATGTGGAATTTTGGATACCAAGGATTGAGGTGATAATAGCTGAAAGTGAAATGTTCTCACCATATCATGTGATGACAATCATCTACTTCAATTCCTTTTTCACAATCAATTACTCCAGCCTATGCATTTGGAAGGCAAAGGAGAAGGGCAGAAGGCCAAAAATCATGCATCATGGTGCGATTGAAGGTTTCAAAACTGTTTAGGGTATGCTTCAAACATAGCTGCCGCATAGGAACTTTCCAGAAAGCAGTATACATCTATAAATAATCCAAAATCGCCATAAATACTTCATTCATGAGGCCAGAGGATATCATATCAGAAGTTAGGCAACTCAGGTGGAGATGAGGAACTGTGGTATACAGTTACATATCAATGATTTGTTGTCTACTTCATCTTTGCTGGTGACTTCTAATCGAACCTAGGCCTCGTGGGTGAATAGTACTTCTTTGGAGCGTAAAGTATAAAGAAAAGGAGAGAGGTCACGAATCCAATCTAGATACTGAAGAATATACGAGCACTGAATAGGCAACAGGTTCATAACCAATGACAGCAACCGAAAGCTGTGCCACCATTGGTGTATGTAGAAGAGTATTCTCTTGGATAGTTGGAAGTTGTCCCACCATTGGCTATTCCATACCTTTACATGGAAGGTGAACATAAAGTCTCATATGCCATGATAAAGTTCTTCTGTAGTCTTTGAATTTGCCTTGGCCTAATTATTCCTTGCTCCTTGTGTGTGACAGGCACTAATAGACAAGGGTCACAGGGTACTTCTCTAAGGTCAAAATGCTATCGAGCTAGTCCAGCAAAAAGTTATGTTATGCTAGTTTGATACTCCTATGTGGATTCAAATAATTGATTTGGCTACAGTGCTGATATAATTTTTCCAGATTTGGTTTGTGAAATGAATTGAAAAAAATATGTGTGGTACGTAAGTTCAAGCATCAACCTCTTTGTAGAAGGAAGATTAGATTAAATAAAGACAGTCAACTCTCCAGTCTCAACGATGTTTTCTTAAGAAATCTAATACAACTGGGAGGTGACAAGGAAGCATATTGTCGTAATACATAAGCAATATGATACTAAAGCAGCTGCAGTCTGATCAGAAAAAATAAAGATGATTGCTACGTAGCACATACCTCAGTTCTCCTTTTAGCGAGTAGGGAAGCTAGCCAAATCACAAATCTTTTGACAACTCTGCTTTGGAATCTACCATCTCTTATTGATGAATAGACAACTTGCTACCAAAGTACCAAGTCATTTTTCCAACCAGGTTCTGGCATTAATAGTGCTCGCCATTCCTTCTTCCCAATTGGCTAAACTAAAATAAAATACATCAGTCGCTGAATCGTGTTTCATAGCATTATTGGAGTAACTGATAGCGTGATGATCAACAATTCAACATGGATAATTCTCATTTTCTTCTGGCAGCACATAATGAGTCGTAATATTTCGATTTTCAGTAGAGAAAAAGCTACGTTCGGAAAGAATCATTTTTCTCGGAGACTATGTGCGATTACAGATATCGTTGTCTGCATATACTGTAGGTGATTTGTACTATTACCAACTGATTTGATTTAAGGACACACGAATGATATGCATATTGGCCTATGTAATAACACCGTTTCTTGGGGGCCACTGTCTGCTACACTAGCTCTCCTCTAGGAATGCTCATATTATGCATATTCATGTCTCCGATATAGGCTAGTCCAAGCAAAATAATTGGCGAAGCTTCCATAAATTAAGGGATTCTCAATGTAATTGTGCATTTTTCTTGCTTACATATCTCATAAATCAATTACTTCTCACGATAATTTTGGCATTTCGCAGACAACAAATCTCACAAGTTTTATTACCACTAATAACAAAACCGCACAGATTTTTAGTCTGAATGGAGCCTCCAATCTCACACATGATGCGCAAGAACATCTATAATCAGATCCTGCGAAACCCAAAGAAAACCATGCGATAATTAGAAGTAAACCACCTGATGATTTCGCGTGGAAGTGGAAGGATCGGAGGCGGGCGCGCGAGCGAGCGAGGCAGAGGGGACGGCGAGCCGCAGCTACCGCACGGGCCTCGAGGGATCGATCCGCGCCACCGCCGCGGCCGCCTCTGGCGAATGCGCCCGCGCGAATGCCGCCGCCGTCGCCGGAGGTGGCGGCGGCGGGCGGCGGCGGAGGGGGAGAGAGAGAGAAGAAAGGGGGAGGGGTAAAACCGTAAAAACCGTAGGAAAGCGAGGGTGAAAGTGAAAAGCGAGAGGAAGGTGGGGGTGGGGCACTGACAAGTGGGCCCCGTTTGCAGTGACACGCCATCTCCTTCCGGTAGAGGGAGCCCGTCTCGCCTCCGCTCCGATTCCGGCGGCGGCGACTCCACCGGCGGCGAATCGCCGCCGCCGGCCACCGCCACGCGCCGCTCTTGGATCATTCAATCACCCCCAAGACACCATTCCAATCCAGTTCAGTGTTAGTTCGGAATAGACATGAACAGTTCTTGGCTTCTTGATGATTTGCTCTTAGCTGCTGTTCTATGCAATTGTTCAATATTTTTTTGTGTGTATGTGTTTTTTTTAATTTTTAATTTGCTGAGGCACAGAATTTGGAATTGCTCCATAAATGATTGGAGGATTTGTTGTGACTTTTCCACAATGTTTCTTCTCATCTTGATTGGTTGCCGTGCACCCCAAGCAGCAAATTCCAACCCTTGCTTAGAATTGATGTGGTCAATCCAGGCTTCCAGCCGATTGGTGGATTATGGTGTTCTTTATATATCATGTTTTGGATACACTCCACGTTGATCTAGTCTCATATGTCAGTGAACTAACATTTTTTTTGCAAGTTGGTCTGAAGGGAAAGTTCATGGCTACTGCTCTTTTGCTGTATGGTTTACATCCACATATTTGATGGACTCTCTTCCACACTCAAATTTAATTTACTAATTTAGTGATGTATATATAGGCAGTAGGCACATAGCATACTTGAGCATGTTCTACTTCTTCTAGCCATTGATTTGTTCCAGAGATTTGGAGATTGTTCAGTTTTTGTTTGGTTTCTTGTAAATTTAAGTAGCACAGAGTGGAGATGCAGGAAGGAAGGAAAGGGGTGCCATCTCTGCTCTCATCTCAGGGAGAATGCATTGCATCCAACATCACACAGGTTATATATATGCTTAAGTTTCTCAGTTGCAAATTTTGCTCTTTTTGCAATTAGATTTGGTTTAAGTAAATTCTGTATTCCTGTCTAGCAGCTGATTGGTTGGACACCACTGATAGAATTGAAGAATATTGCTAAGAAAGATGGCATAGCTGCTCGGCTGGTTGGGAAGATTGAGCCATACCAACCCCTTTCCTCTGTGAAGGATCGGAGTGCTCTCAGGTGATTGGTCTAACCTCTCTAGATCATCTTGATGTACCAAGTTTATTCAAGATTATTCAAGGATAATGTGAGGTTAGAATTTAAATAGCACCAGGCCAACATGTTGAGTTATGCAGTTTTTAGTGCAAACATATTATTCAAGGAATGGTTATGCAGTTTTTAGTGCATAACATATTATTCAAGGATTGGTTATGCAGTTTTTCCCCCAAAAAAAGAGTTTTGCAGTTTTTAGTTCAAACAAGAGTCATTTCAATAGAAATTACTTACTACGAAGAATTTATCATAGAAACGATAGATTGGCAAATGTTTCTTGTTACTACCACATGGTAGGGATAAAGTTATTCCCCTCAAATTTACCAACTTTTGACAGCAATATGAATGAAAATCCATCAAATTGCTATCATGACAAGTATGAATGCTGACTTGCAGATTGATCGAAGATGCAGAGGAGAGAGGCTTAATCTCACCTGGCATCACAACACTAGCAGGGGTCACAAGCGGCAATCTTGGTATCGGAGTGGCGTTTGTTGCTGCTCAGAAAGGTTACAAATTCATTGCTGTCATGCCTGCTAAACTCTCGATAGATAAACAAATCCTGTTGAGATACCTGGGAGTTGAAGTGATTTTGGTTGGTAAGAAGCTTAGCTCCATGGCCCTCGTATTACAGGTCAGATGTAACATGCTAGTCTCCTGCAGACCCTGCACTGAATGGATTCAAGGGGCTACTTGATAGAGTTGAACAGCTGAAGAAGGATATGGAGAATGTGTTTGTTATAGATCAATTCACCAATCCTGCTAATCCTGATGCGCACTTCAGATGGACAGGTAACATAGATTTATTATTTCTTTCAAAGTAAAATTGATGTAGCAGCGCTAGAAATCTTAGTAGTACTATAGTAGCAGTGTTGAGTAGCATTATAATATTCTTGTAACTAGACAATTAGACTTACTCCCATTATCTAAAAAAAAGACAATTAGACATACTGTAATCCTGCAAATTATGAATTACAATATGGAAACCACGCATGAAGCTTAGATTGTTGAAGTTAGTTAAACAGTGTCACTCATACAGTAAATGCTTTGATATGATTAAATTTTGTTGCCTTTTGTACGGTCATGCTTCCATGCAATCAGCCAACTCTTTGAGTCTTGACTACTACTTGCAGGTAACATATTTGACCTGAAATATTTACTGAACTAAAATTTTGTTCTCAGGACCTGAAATATGGAAAGATACAGCAGGCAAAGTGGATATATTTGTAGCTGCATCTGGTTCAGGAGGCACAGTGACAGGCGTAGGGAGGTATCTCAAGATGAAGAATCCATCCATAAAGCTGATATGTGTTGAACCAGCTGAAAGTGCAGTAATTTCAGGTAACATAAATGACCACTATATTGATATTTGCTCTCCTCTCAGCAATGCCACACAAACTGAATGTAAAACTGAGCAAGTGAGCTTGTGTATTATCACTTGTAGGAGGTGAACCAGCATTCCATAACATCCAAGGCATAGGTCCAGGATTTATCCCAGAAATATTGGACAGATCACAAATAGATGAGATAGTAACAGTGACCACTCAAGAAGCTATGGACATGGCAAGAAGGTTGGCAAGGGAAGAAGGATTGCTCGTTGGAATATCTTCAGGAGCCAACGCAGCTGCCATCTTGAAGGCAAGCTCTTTCATTTTTTTTCAGCAAACACTACAGTAATGATTTATTATAGAAACATGATTGTCAATTACATTGCTCCTCTCAATTTGTGTACTGATTGATAGGTTGCAGCAAGGGAGGAGAACAAGGGAAAGATGATCGTGACGATGTTCTCCAGTGGTGGGGAGAGATACCTGAATTCGGAGCTATTTGCGCAGGTGAAGGAGGAATGCATCAACATCAACAAGGCATTCTGCTGACATGTGTAGGGGTGATCATGCAGTGTAATCTTCAAGGCTTCATTCTTGGTGGTTGTTCTACTCTAATATTGTAAGAAGCTTCTGTACATTGGTGTTATTACTCTTAGATTAGAATCAATTGTATGGATGTTCAGATATGCAAAATGTTACCTGTTCCTTGCTGAATGCTGAGCCTGTCCGTGGCCTGGTCTGGCTATAAGCGAAATGTATAATTCACAATCGTTAGTCACGCTCGTTTGGAAGGTAAGGGAAGATAAAATCAATAGTAACTTCTTCCTCTATGAAATGCCAGAATTCTCACCGAACTTCTGTGCATACATATAGAAATATTCTATACAGGGACAACAAAACTCACATTTGTTCTTTCCATCTTCCAATATGCTGTTACCCATCATTTTGGGCAGCTGCTACACTGGTTCTTGTAGCCTCGTTCTTTTCTGATTAAAGATACTACCTCCGTTTTTTAATAGATGACGCCGTTGACTTTTTCTCACATGTTTAACTATTCGTCTTATTCAAAAATTTTATGCAAATGTATAAGATATAAATCACACTTAAAGTACTATGAGTGATAAAACAACTCATAACAAAATAAATTATAATTACATAATTTTTTTTAAGACGAATGGTCAAACATATGAGAAAAAGTCAACGTTGTCATCTATTATAAAACGGAGGTAGTAGATTTTATCTTGGTTTCCATTAGTACGTGTTTCAAACTTCTAAATGACGCATTTCGTATGGAAACTTGATATATAGAAGTTGCCTTAAAATATCAAATAAATACACTCTTTTAAGTTTGTAATAATTAAAACTCAATTAATTATGCACTAATAGCTTTCTTATTTTTCCGTGCCCTAACTTCATTTTCATCTTTAGTAGAAACGAACATCACGTGCAACTTGACGTACAGTAAAGATTCAGTTATCATTTAGTAAACTGTCTCACTACAGAGTTAAATTCTGACCAAAGACACACGTTCCAGTCATATAAAATTTTCCGAAGTAGTTGGCACAGAGATAGAACTATAACTTTATAAGCAGAAATAAGAAGGTTCCAAGTCAGTGAGAAAGGCATCACCGAAAGTGCAGGGCAGCCCTATTCATACATGGCCTCCTATGAATACAGAATTCCCGGGACCAACTGCAGAAAAACAACTATTTGTGCAAAAAAATAAGAACTGGACTCTTCAGCTGGAAGGCTCACCTGTCAATTAACTATGACAAAAGGAATTCTCAGTTCTCACTGCCTAACAACACTATAGAGTATAGCTAAACACCCTGTATTCAATCATGCATTCCTCATCTCTTGGCAAGAGATTTCCAGCAAATAAAAGGATTCATCGAAGATGGCCAACAAACGGTACGCAAGCTTCTTCCTGTTCTTTATGATGCCATTTTCTCTCCTGCACAAATCGTACCCGCAGTTGGTGAATCAATCTAGTGATGAACACCAAATCCTCCTTGAGATCAAGAGACACTGGGGGAGCTCACCTGTTTTAGGTAGATGGAGCTCCAATTCTGCTGCTCACTGCAATTGGGGAGGAATCACATGCACAGATGGTGTGGTGACTGGCATCTCTCTACCAAATCAAACCTTCATCAAACCAATTCCTCCCTCCATTTGCCTCCTCAAGAACCTCACCCACTTGGATGTCTCCTACAACAACATATCCTCTCCATTCCCTACAATGCTCTACAATTGCTCCAATCTCAAGTACCTTGACCTTTCGAACAACGCCTTTGCTGGGAAGCTCCCAAATGATATAAATAGTCTACCAGCGCTGCTCGAGCATCTCAACCTTTCATCTAATCACTTCACTGGCAGAATTCCACCATCAATTGGACTGTTCCCAAGGCTGAAGTCGCTGCTCCTTGACACCAATCAGTTTGATGGGAGGTACCCAGCTGAGGATATCAGCAATCTTGCTGACCTTGAGAGGCTGACACTAGCAGTCAATCCATTTGTCCCGGCTCCCTTTCCAATGGAGTTTGGTAGGTTGACACGTCTGACTTACTTGTGGCTGTCAAATATGAATATTACCGGTGAAATCCCTGAAAGCCTATCCAGCCTCAGAGAGCTCAACGTCTTGGACTTATCATCGAACAAGATCCAAGGAAAAATTCCAAGGTGGATCTGGCAACATAAGAAACTTCAGATTCTGTACCTGTATGCAAACAGATTCACCGGTGAGATTGAATCCAACATCACAGCCTTGAACTTGGTGGAGATTGATGTTTCTGCAAATGAGTTAACAGGAACAATACCAGATGGATTTGGTAAGATGACCAACCTTACCTTATTGTTTCTCTACTTTAACAAGCTGAGTGGATCAATACCACCAAGCGTTGGGCTGCTGCCAAAGCTTACTGACATTCGGTTATTCAATAACATGCTCTCTGGATCGCTCCCATCAGAGCTTGGTAAGCACTCACCACTGGCCAATCTTGAGGTCTCCAATAATAACCTCTCTGGGGAGCTACCAGAAGGCCTCTGCTTCAACAGGAAGCTATATAGCATTGTTGTGTTCAATAACAGCTTTTCTGGAAAACTTCCATCTTCATTGGATGGTTGCTATCCGTTGCAAAATTTGATGTTGTACAATAATAATTTTTCTGGAGAGTTCCCCAGGAGCCTTTGGTCAGTGGTGACAGATCAGCTAAGTGTAGTTATGATACAGAACAACAATTTCTCTGGCACATTCCCCAAACAGCTCCCATGGAACTTCACACGTCTTGACATCAGCAACAACAGATTCTCAGGTCCCATTCCAACATTGGCAGGCAAAATGAAAGTATTCAGAGCAGCAAACAACTTGCTCTCTGGTGAAATTCCCTGGGATCTGACAGGCATTTCACAAGTCAGATTGGTTGATCTTTCTGGGAATCAAATTAGTGGCTCACTACCCACGACAATTGGAGTGCTGATGAGGCTAAACACACTTTACCTAAGTGGAAATCAGATATCTGGTAATATCCCAGCAGGGTTTGGGTTTATTACAGGGCTGAACGACCTAGACCTCTCATCGAATAAGCTATCTGGTGAGATCCCGAAGGATTCTAATAAGCTGCTGCTCAGTTTTCTGAATCTCTCTATGAACCAACTCACTGGGGAAATTCCGACATCATTGCAAAACAAAGCATATGAGCAGAGCTTCCTATTCAACCTAGGCCTCTGTGTCTCATCGAGCAATTCACTCCAAAATTTCCCTATCTGCAGGGCAAGAGCAAACATCAACAAGGATCTGTTCGGAAAGCATATAGCCCTCATTTCTGCTGTTGCCAGCATTATACTCTTGGTTTCGGCAGTGGCTGGTTTCATGCTCTTAAGAAGGAAAAAGCATCTACAAGATCACTTGTCATGGAAGTTAACACCCTTCCACGTATTGCATTTCACCGCAAATGACATTCTTTCTGGGCTCTGCGAGCAGAATTGGATTGGAAGTGGCAGGTCTGGCAAGGTGTACCGGGTTTATGCTGGAGATAGAACAAGTGGTGGCAGGATGATGGCTGTCAAAAAGATATGGAACATGCAAAATATTGATAACAAGCTGGAGAAGGACTTCCTTGCAGAGGTTCAGATATTGGGAGAGATCAGGCACACAAACATTGTCAAGCTTCTATGCTGCATCTCAAGTTCAGAGGCAAAGCTTCTGATCTACGAGTACATGGAAAACGGCAGCCTACATCAATGGCTTCACCAGAGGGAAAGAATTGGTGTGCCAGGACCTCTGGATTGGCCAACAAGATTGCAAATTGCCATCGACTCAGCGAGAGGCCTTTGCTACATGCATCACCATTGCTCGCCTCCCATAGTGCATCGAGATGTCAAGTGTGCCAACATCCTTCTGGATCACAACTTCAGAGCAAAGATGGCAGATTTTGGGCTTGCAAAGATTCTTCTCAAAGCTGGAGACGACGAGTCATTTTCTGCTATAGCTGGAACTTTTGGCTACATGGCACCAGGTGATAGCTGAAAAGAACAACTTTGATGAGTATATACTTGCATATTACCTGAAACACTAAATTGTTTACACTTTGCAGAATATGGACATCGGCTCAAGGTAAACGAGAAGATCGATGTCTACAGCTTTGGTGTGGTCCTTCTGGAAATCATAACTGGTCGAGTGGCAAATGATGGTGGAGAGTACTATTGCTTGGCACAATGGGCATGGAGGCAGTACCAAGAATATGGTTTGTCAGTTGATCTTCTCGATGAGGGAATCAGAGACCCAACCCATGTTGAGGACGCATTGGAGGTGTTTACACTTGCTGTGATTTGTACTGGGGAGCATCCTTCAATGCGGCCATCAATGAAAGACGTACTGAATATTCTTATCCAATTTGACCGTAAATCTACAAGGATTCAGGGTAGCTTGAAACATGCTGTCTCTGATGAAACAACACTTCTTGAATCCTAGCTAAGCAGCACTTAATGAGAATATATGGTTCCTGGTGTAGGTGATTATTCTTTTCATTTGCAACAACTAGATGATGCTTATTACAGGCCAGTGATTACTACTGTTTAACTTTTATGTTGACATGATAAAGAATATGAAGTGTGCAATCACTAAATTTTGTTTAACTTGCGAACTAAATGCCATTACATAAAGTTATCTTCAGATTATTACAAACACTCCATTTTCCAAAGCAGAGGTGCACAGATCGCTAAAAAAGGACGGTGCACTGCGACTGGGAGATAGTAATATGGAACTGTATATGAATGTTTGCGCATGTTTGACGACGAAATTTCTTGAATTCATTTGGTCAGCATGCACACGATGTTAATTATATATGACAATTTGGATTAACAAAAAAAGGTAATGCAGAAACTCCCTTATTATGTGGAGACAAATTGGACCTTATCATCTCTAGAAAAAAAACGAAAATGTAATGGCCATAGGTTACTCCAAGCAAGTTACAATTATTGAGAACTTCTTGTTTTTCTTAGAGGAGACGAAACTAACAGTTTTTATAGGAAAAAAAAGGGTATCTGAATTGATTCCAACAATTTACATGCATGAAGGGAGTAAAGCATTTGCTCTTGGTACCTTCAAAAGGCAGATTTTATTTTTAACCCAGGAAAAGGGTGTATTATTCAGGCTAATCGAAATCAAAAACCCCAAACAATTTGGCATACCTACTAACGGATTTGATCCAACATGGAAACACAAACGCGCGGAGATTACATGTATAAGGGCCAGCGGCGGCGGGCTTACTCGGTGGTTCCGCACGGAGGCGCGAAGACGGCGGCTGCGCCGCCGCCACCGCCGCCGCCGACGCCGGCGGCCGCCGCGATGGGGGCGGCTCGCGGTGGATGCAGGAAGGTTTGCGGTTGGCATGAGCGGATGACATGTGGACCCACCTGTCAGCAGCTCGTCTTTCTGCTCCTCGTCCATGAGGCGCTCGTTTCATCACGGTAAAAAAGAGAGAAGAAATTATGGGTTGGATGTAAAAAAAATAAATCGCATCGATGATAAAAAAAACTTACTAGTTGTGTGATCTAGTACACGGACTTAAGAATAGAACGTTTGAGTGTAATTAAATAGCTTGACGAGCGGGTATATCTTTATCTATTATAAAAGTTTTAGATGTTTTTACCGAAATTTTCCTACGTCACTCCTAATTGTTTCGGTTTAGTATATCATACGTACTCACGCGAGCAAACATCCATCCATCGTTGTGCGGTTCAGATCGATCACGCCGGCGCGAAGAAGTCCAGAAATTGTTTTGGAGTACGATGGCGGGTGAGGCAGCCACCGTGCTTCTCGGAGAGATTGTGTCCAATTCAGAACACAAATCCAACAAATATGGAATAATATATCTTCTCTGCTATTATAAAAATTGATGGTGTTTTTTTCGGTACTTTGGTACGTTATCCGTGTATGAGTCGGATTTTGAGTTCATTCGCTTTTGGAAATACATATCCGTATTTGATTCGGTTTTTAAGTTTCTTCGCTTTTGGAAATACGGAGAAGGAGTCGTATAAGAAATCTCTTTAAGAAGCTCGCATGCTAACTTGAGACGAACAGACTCCTAACTATAACTCATGATTTTTTATATATCCAAGTAAATTTCCACTATGAATTTCACCTTAACTAAACCATATCTCTATCTCTACTACTTAAAAAGAAGTGTTTCCATCGTCCGTCCGCGAAAAAAAATCGAGTGAAAAAAAAAATCAAATCCGATTATATGTGCCGCGGTAAAAAAAACAAATCGAATCCGATTCCGTCCGTGAAAAAGGGTGAAAAGTCGGGCGAAAAAAAAAGTCTGATTCAATTTGCTTCCGTCGTCCATTAAAATTTTCGACCGTAACATCAATTTTTTATCCGTAAATCCGATTGAAATCCAATAGGACAATCCAAAGAAAGAGAAAAGGAACGGGAAAAATAATAAAAAAACACAAATTTTATCTCAACCCGCGGGAAGCTGCCGCCGTCGCTCGCCGCTGCTTGCAGCTGCCAACGCCATCAGATCCTCCCGGGAAAACCGATGCCGTCACTGGCAGTTTATGTCTAGAACTATCTCATATAACTCTCATGAAACTATAAAATAACTATAATCATTATCATTAGTTTTTTTCCCGTTGCAACGCACATGCATCTTTCTAAAAGCTTGATAATTTAGTATTTTGGTGCAACAAATTTGTTAAGTGTTGTTTTTTTTTATTAATGAGTGTTAGGTGAGCTTTTTTTTTCACGATATCAATATTGCATCATATAGCACCACCGGTTAATCTTAATCTTTAAGAATTACGTTACATCCAATTTGCACCGCCGGTTAGGATTTTGTTTTCTTCACCATCTCAAATCTCAACCAAAATATAATATATTTTTTGACATAGTAAAGTTAATTGACGTTAAGTAGATACTTTAAATATGCTTACATAGATTTGCACCAGTATATTGACAAAATGAGTACTTAAAAATTGAATAAAATGCTTGAAATAATTAAGTTGTCACATCACTTTTTTTAAGTTATTGTACTAAAACTGTACCCACAAGTTTTTACACTCATTCGTTCATTTCTCAAGTTTTTTAAAGCATGTCACGAATAATTTGTGTATAATGATCAACAATAATCTAAAAATAACGGGCCTTAAATATCTTCCGAAGAATATAAATTTAACATATTCCATTATGGATTTGATATAAACTAGTGTTGCACTAGTTAGTACAGTTGTTATGTTTCCTTCCTGCAAAAGAAATAGCATTTGGTAAAAATATCATGACTAGACAAAAGAAATAGCATTTGGTAAAAACATCATAACTAGACACAGCATGACTAAAGGCAAAAACTTAATGAGCGGGAAACCCTGATGTTTGTATAAGGTTGTTTCAATATAAATACTGAAAGATTGAGGCAAGTCTTATCATTGGAATAGTTCACATTTTCACATTAGGGCTATATACATATTTTGTTTGTTTTCAAATGGTTATCCATGACTAGCCCGAATCATGAGATCTTGGAGGAAAACAGTAATATTGGGTCAAGAAGCTGAAGAGCCTCTATCATTCTGTCCTTTTAAGTCAACAATATTTACGATAATAGTAGATTTTATAGGAGTCCTGAGAATAGTGTGACGCTTGCATTCAACCTGATGTTCGCGGTAGTGAACGGACGTCGCGCTCGGGGTGGTATGCAAGTGTTCTCTTCTTCGGTTGTGGTTTGGAAACGAGAGGTTGTGTGGGCGTTGTTATGATCCGGAGGGTGTGATTACCATGGCTTGCCCGCCTACCGCCGCCAAGGGAACGGCAATTCAGTCCACGCGTGAAAGCAACGCAACGAGCTGTTTAAATAACTCGGTGGCCTCCACTCGAATAACTCGATCGCTTCCTGGTCCACTGTATAAGCGCAGACCTCTTATTGAGGGAGGAGGGAGTGACGTCACGTGGTGCACGTAGACGTCGACTCAGATAATGGACATCCGGAAAATTACAACAAACTGATGGTTGGGATTGAAATGATGTATCGTAAAGGAATACAACAAGAAATTGATGGTTTCGTATGTGGTTTAGATTAAAACCTGCTAGCCACCAAAGCTTCTTCTCCTCCTCGTGATATGGTTATTCTCTTGCACTATAACTCTGCTCCTAAAAAATTTTAAAATATGAAAAGGCACAATCTCAATCTCCTTAAAACTCATCTCAGTGAAACTCAAACTCAACGAGAATGTTACTCGCAGCTACTCGAAACTAGTGACTACTAATCCTAAAGCCCTTAAATGAGTGATTAATGAACTAATGATCATTTGCCAGCGGCATAGTGAACTAATTATCATTCGACATAATAAGACTTTGTTTCTTTATTGAAGGAGATGAAACTGAAAAATAATAAAAAAAAAGTACATATCTTAATTGATTCCAACAGTTTACAATATATAGGAGGGAACTTAAAAAGTCCTGGATATACATCTACCCTATAATTCACCAACTCGTTTTACTCATCTTTCATCCTTACACTCTTACATTCATCACTTAATGGTTCAGATCATCCCTGGAATATCTTGCTCAGATCCAACGTTTGAGGTCGCTCCCACCTCCCACCTCGCATTGCACCGGCAGGCAATCCCGTCTCCCGTCTTCCGCGCGATCCTCTTCTCCCTTCCTTCCGAAACCTCTCCCGTCTCCCGCACCCCTCTCCAATCCGTCCTACCTCCCCCTCACATTTCCTCCCCGCCCAGGTCGCCGACGCGCCGCCCTCAGAAGCCGCCTCCAGATCGCCGTCCAGCCTCCTCGCCCTCGTGCCGCAAGCATCAACCGTCTCGCCACAAACAGCCTCCTCCAGGATAAGCACGACGACTACCATATACCCCCCATATAATGCTAAGGTCTGCCAAAAAAAATGCATCTTTTTGCCCCCCATCAGTTGGATCCTTGTCACCGCTGATTATAACCCCGCCTTGTCTGCTCCCATTGCGATGCATGTTTCTCAAGGCAAGGAAGTATGATCATGATAAAGCAATGCAAATGGGGCATAGATGCTGAGATGGAAAGGAAAGAGTTTGGAGCTGACACTGTCTTGGAGGTGATTAGAGATTCAGAGAGCATTTTAGTTGTTAAGTTACAGCGTCTAATTAATTTTTGGTTTTTCCTGGATTCACTATTGGGTTCTTGTGGTCAGGAGTTTGAGTTCGATGGTGATGACTGGGAAGGCTGGACGGTGTACATCGAGAAGGCTGGCAAGGTCGATCCGAACAAGCTGATGCATATCACCTCAGTATAGCGGTGCATCAAGTACCATGTGCAGAGTTTGAAAGAAATTTCAGGGACAAGGTCCCTGCTTGCACATTGGCAGCCAAGAGGCATATTGATTTCAGTATTTCACAACATACTGAAATTCTCAGATACTGCAAAGGTGATCACCATATATACATATGTGAAAAGAAACTTTTGAAAAAAGAAAAAATAAATCCTTTATTAATATATTATGATGCACATTTTGATCAATTTATACTTCTAACTTTGTTATATTTAGGATATTTTTAAAAAATATTTAAGTTAGACCACCCAAATTGAAATCCTAAATACACCACTTGCTGTGTATAGTGTTGTATGGTGACTGCAAGTGCCATGATTTGTCATCGAAGAAGATTAGCTCTGCTCGGATAAGCTGATAGCCACTACAACGATAATACTCAGCAATATATGCTTGGGATTGTTGTAGCTGCAGCCGTAGCCATCATAGTCGAGCAGGGCAGCCAATCACATCTTAATTCTGAGTTCAAATTAGAACTAATTAAAACAGTTAATTTGTTTAGGTTCTTGATTGCCAGAGTACACTTCTTGAAGTAATTAACAAAATGTTAGCATCAACTAGCTGTGCCTATCAACCTTTGTCAAACTATTAGCTGTCTGTATTTATACAGCTATATCTGTTCAGCTTACCAATTTTTAGAAATGTTCTTACCTTCATAGCACCTATTGAGTCCAGATGAAGGCCATGTATAGGTACTTTTAGTATCCTGATTTCAATTTGTAGTCCCTTTGAAATAGTTCAATTCAGATCTTCTGAAATAGGACATTGTGTCCAACCTAACTTAAAGCTGATTGTTGCTTAGTTTCCTTAGATAGTTCTAAATGTCCATTATGAAGGTTCAAAAGCAACACACCTAGCTACTTTAATTTTGTGACTATTTTTAGAGTTTGGTGATTTTCAGAACTGAAGGGCACCATAGAATATGCTCAATAAATAAATGTTTAAGAGGCAATGGCTATCGCCTAAGGGAGTGTTTGAGGAGAAGGGGATTGAGGAGATTGGGAAGATACGCAAAACGAGGTGAGCCATTAGCTCATAATTAATTGAGTATTAACTATTTTAAATTCCAAAAATGGATTAGTATGATTTTTTAAAGCAACTTTCCTATTGAATTTTTTTGCAAAAAACGCACCGTTTAGTAGTTTGAAAAGCGTGCGCGCGGAAAACGAGAGCCAATCTCCCCTATCACCCCTAAACGAACGATGCCTAACACAAGTTCTTCTTTCACATATTTATATAACATACTCCCTCCGTCCCAAAATAAGTGCAGTTTTGCACTATTCACATTCAACGTTTGACCGTCCGTCTTATTTAAAAATTTTTTATGATTAGTATTTTTATTGCTATTAGATGATAAAACATGAATAGTACTTTATGTGTGACTAAATGTTTTTAATTTTTTCACAAATTTTTCAAATAAGACGGACGGTCAAACGTTGAACGTGAATAGTGCAAAACTGCACTTATTTTGGGATGGAGGTAGTATTCTATAATGCCCTTGTTTGGGGCAACCTGGAGCTAAGTCCCTTTTTTTAAAAAAAGGAACCTGGAGCTTTGGTTGATGAATAATGAGTTTTGCAGGTTCTGTTCTGTGCAGCACAATAGCAGATAACGATTTAATTTCAACCTTTTCAGTTGTAGCTGCCCGAATGAAAAATGCCTGAACATGCCTGAAGATGAGTAGATCTTTTGCAAGTCTTGATTTGTGCACCTCATCAGATGGCTGCCAGAGCATGAAAAATTCCTGAGTATGATTAGGCTGTTTGCAAATCTTGGATTTGTGCCCCTCATACTGTATGTGCACATCTTTAGACTTTAGACCTGAAGACATTATCCTCTTGTTGTAAACTTTGTTATATATACCAACATGTAGTAAACATCCATTAATTGATTTTATAAGATTAAGACTAACAAAATGAAACACATTTTTGAAAAATGCCCGACCATGAATAAGAACTTTAAAAATACAAACTTTCAATTAAAATGGAGTGTGTTAACATTTAAAATATTTTTTTAGGAGCTACATGTCCTAAGGCATGACGTAAATTATGTTGGATCATGGCAATTTTCAAGAGTTGCATGTCTTTTCAGACCGGAATAATAAACTTGAACATATTCTGGAGCCTACATCTATTATATGCGTAATTGTTGAAACACATGTTTTTCAGTCTGATTTGTATTACCAAAAAGGAGTAACATTAAATATAGTCGTAGCGTAGCACGTGCATATTACTAGTAATACACAGTTAGTTAGTTAGGTTAATTATCTAATTAAGTAAATGATTATGTGTGAAAAATACTACCTCCGTTTTTTAATAGATGACGCCGTTGACTTTTTCTCACATATTTGACCACTCGTCTTATTCAAAAATTTTATGCAAATATATAAGATATAAATCACACTTAAAGTACTATAAATGATAAAACAACTCATAACAAAATAAATTATAATTACGTAAATTTTTTGAATAAGACGAATGGTCAAACATGTGAGAAAAAGTCAACGGCGTCATCTATTAAAAAACGGAGGTAGTAATTGTTACCCGTGTTGGCGGTTTGGTTTGGTTTGGTCCTGCGGGTTGAACGGGTTTGAACCAAACCGTGAACACCCTGAGACCGTACCACCCGGACCGCCGGCAGCGGCGCTCGCCCCCGCCCTCTCCACCGGGATGGACGCCATCCGCCGCCAGACGCTGAGCCCTATCCGATGATGCTTGCCCCCTGTCTGCTCTGCTCTCTCTCTCTCTCTCTGCTCACGTGTGGATAGAACATGAAAGACTACTGGACTGTGTTTCGCTGGATGGTGCTGGTGGTTCGACTGAGGGACGATGGGTTATTGTGTGCTGCTGCTATGTATCTTTTTTTCTTTTCTTGATTAGAGATCGGGTTTGCATCGCCCACCGATTTGTCAACATCTGCATTTCTCCCGATATCGGCATCGCATCCAGCTTCCTCTTTGTCGTTCTGCCCCTTGCATTTTTGGCCTGATCACCCGTTCAAGCTCTCGGCTACAACGACTTTTTCGACCGATGATCTTCAAGCACGTCTACTACGCCATCGAGCTTTGGGCTGCTACTACGTCGCACCCTACTACTATTGTAGTGCCGCTGCCTGTAGTCCACATCTACTGGTTGTTGTAGCGCTGAGAGGGGCGCCCTCCTCAGCATGGCCTCATTACCGGTGGACTTCTGGCCGTTGCATCGATATGAGGCTGCAGCTATGTCGTCTCTTCGGACCATAGCCTCGTTGCTTTCATCATCTTCATCGCCGCTCGCACATCGACACCCTTGTCATCCGCACTGATCATCTTCAGCCATCGGGTAATTCTTCGTCTACTTCAAGCATCGCCACCGCGTCTCCAAGTTGCCATCATCGCTGCTCTAGGCCGGTGGTCCAATTACCCCTACATGGCTATCGGCGTCGTCGTCCAGGCCGTTGGTTCAGCTACTTCGTCTTCGTCTTCGTGCAACATGCCTCATCGCCAACGTCGCCGTATCTTCCTCGACTACACTTCGTTCTTCTCTGGCAAATGCATGCTGCTCCGGCAATTCTATCCCTCTACGCTCTTCTCGTGCCGGAGGCTTTCTCTGCTAGTCTCCAGGTACATAATCATCAAGTATTAATCGTAGTTTAATTTATGCATCAATTTTACTGTGTCTTGCGCTACAACTTCAGCACCCTCCGGGTCTTTTGTTGTCTTGGATTTCTAATTAATGATTTGGAGTGTACGTTTCTTGATCCATGCAGTGAACTCATGAGCATTGCACAGGATGGCCGACCAGAACTTCCTCTATTGGAAGAAGCCTCTGTTGCCGAAATTGCATATTGTAAACAAAAATGTGTTTTCATTGCACAGATCGCTGCACTGTTTGGTTTTTTACTACTCACAGTGCTCTTCTGCTGCTGTAATAGCAAGAGATTGTGGAATAGCACCTACTAGCCACCAGATCAGAAGTCCCAAATCTTTTGAGTACATATAATCTTTTGAGTCCCAAACCCAAATCAGGAGGAGGTTTGGCTTGAACAGAGTACGTATTTGAACATTCGGTTGGAAAAATAATAGGTTTATGTGGATCTACAGTTTAACTAATTGTTTATCAGCTCTTGTAATCTTTGAGACTGTACATTCAAAAGTAGAATGTATATTGATAAAGTGTGTCACTTAATTATTATCATATATATAATGGTAATTGATGGTAATGCTCTTTTTCAAAATTCTGTTGTAACATATGGGCAATATGTTTGTTTTTTTTCTGAAAAAAAACATATTCTTCCCGCATAAATTCTAATTGAAATTTCAAAAATATTCTTGGACAAATATTGTAGTGTATAAATGCTTATATTCCTGGATAAAATTTAAAATTTTCAAATCCTTATATTATTAGATGGAGGAAGTAATGTTGGTAGTCGGCTCAGTTTGAACCTACTGAAGATTAAGATTAAGTACAAACACGTGAAACAAGGAAGCCATTAACATATGATTAATTGAGTTTTAATTATTTTAAACATAAAAATAGATTTATTATATATTTTAAAGTAAATTTTGTATAGAAAATTATCACACGAAACGTACCGTTTAGCGGGTTGAAAACATGCTAATGAAAATCAAGATAAAATATATACGTTAATCAGGTCCAAACAGGGATCAGTGCTGAACTGATGAAGAAGTACATATTAATGCTCTGCTTCCTTCCTGCTACCAAGGTTGGCAGAGGAGGGGATCATGTCCTAGATGTGAAAATCCAGTATATATGCATGACTACATAAAAAACTGGATGAGCCACATAATCGATTGAATGTTAAAGTCCAGTATATATGTATGACTACATCACAAAAACTGGATGAGTCACATTATCGATCGAATGTTAAGACAAATCAATAATGTTTCGATATAAATATCAAAGCTAGTGCTATGGGAGAAACTTCATACGATTCTTTTGAAATTTCTAATGTATTTTTTAAGGTGAATCAATTATGAGATGTTGGAGCAAAACAAGATAGAACTGTAGCATATAAAAGGTGAATCAATTATGAGATGTTGGAGCAAGACAAGATAAAACTGTAGCATATAGAAAAGAGGGTTAGAAACGAAGATAGAGACCAGGGATTATATGGTATGTTAATAAATAAGTAGAAAATATATGAGGAAATTTATAATATGATAGAGAAAATGACCATGCGTTGCAACGGTTAAAAATGGTTTTGGTGGAAAGGTCATTCCTTACTTCCTTTTTCGCCCCAACCTAGTCCGATATTTCCCTATGCTCGGAGTGTCTCTTCTTGGCTCAACGTACCATTGAAGCTGCAGACTCTGCTCAACCTATCGAAAACATTCCCGTGGCCAAGTCAGAGCCGATCCTCCCCATCCATTCCATCTATACTCGGAGTGTCTCTTCTTGGCTCAACGTACCAGTGAAGCTGCAGACTCGGCTCAACCTATCGAAAACATTCCCGTGGCCAAGTCGGAGCCGATCCTCCCCATCCATTCCAGTTCAATATTTGTTGATCTCCCAAAATTGGTTGAGGGATTGTGATTACTCCATATTCCTCTTTATGTTTTTTATCAAAATCATATCGAATATGCAAAACTCATGATAAAAACAAATACTATTAAATGGAAATTAAATCCGATGAATTAAAGTTGAATTGAAACTGGCAACAGATGGGATGATTGCACAAGAGCTTAATCTGGCCCTGGATGGCGGCTAGCATTCTTCTTTCGTAATCATTTTATTTGATGTGATCTAACGGGAATGATCCCAGCCGTGCTCCCAAAAGACTGTTACCTTAGTAATACACAAAAAATACTATGGATACTTTTTTATTGTAAAAAGAAAATTGAGATTTGCAACAGATTTGCAACAGGATAGTGTGTACGATCGTGCGAAATTTCATCTCAAAACACGTAATGATAACCAAAAAAAAATCTATCTAAAAATACACCTACATATTTTTAGGTGAAAATATATTAAATGTCATTATAGTATAAATTTGGTGTAATTACATAGAGTGAAGTACATGGGCGGCCTCTAAATTTGTGCGGGTGTATCGTCTAGATTCCTAAACTCCCAAAATACATTTTTGGGTCCCTGAACTTGTCATGAGTGTCATATAGGTCTAAATAGGTTCTAACCCGCTCCATGCGCTGACGTGGCATTGCCACGGTGACGTCTGCGTGTGAGTGGAATCCACATGTCAAGCATATATAAAAAAAATAAAAAACTACATTTTCTCCTCTTAGGTAGTCATGAAAAAAATGATAAAAATTCTAAGGTAGAGAGGAGAAAATATGTTATTTTTAATTTTATTTTTTCTATGTGACTGAAACATGGATCCGGCTAACACGTAGGTACTACCATGGCATGCTACATCAGCGCATGAAGCAGGTTGGAGCTCATTTGCACCTATATGACACGCAAGACAAGTTCAGGACCCGAAAATGTATTTCGAAAGTTTAGAGACCTAAGTGATACACCCGCGCGAGTTAAGGAATCGCTCGTGCACTTCACTTATGTGTAAGTTGGATGTTAGTTAATAATAAAAATAGGTACTCCTTCCATCTATTTTTGATAGTCATATTTCATCTTGGCACACAGATCAAGGATATTTAAACATGCTACTAGTTATTCTTCGTAAACAAGCGATACATTAATATTTACATTTCTCGATGCCTATGTAGCCAATCTTGTGTGGAGGAATGAAGAGTCACGCATTAAATCCGAGAAAGTCATTAAAATGATATGTTGTTGAATTGAAATATGCCTATCAAAAATAAAATTTTCAGATTTGGAAATATGCATATAAGTATATGAGGGAATAGTTGCTTAGTTGGTATGTGCGAATTGCGATGGCTTGTACGGCATAGTTCACGGGTTCGATTCCCCTGTCTCCCCGCTGCTACTTGTGTTTTTTTTTTCCTCGTATAGCACGGATCTTGAGGCTAATTGATGTTCCAAAAATCATCATATTTTTTTTCCAAACAATCTATCACCAATTATTTAGCAACTCCGGAAAAGAAACAAAAATCATGCATGAACAATGTTGAAAAGAACTACTCCCTCCAACCCATCCAACAATATAAGCATTTCAATTTTGTCGAAGAATATAAAGCATTCCTACACTACTATTTGTCGCATCAATCACCTCTCATTTAAAATCCTGTCATCTTATCCCCGATTAGCTCCCCACCCCCATTGATCCCTAATTAAATAAGGGGCCCTAAAGTTTTTTTTTTACCTTAGCCTTAATTCTTGCTAAACAACATAACAATGTTTATATTGTTGAATGGACGCAGTAAAGTACCAATGCAAACAAAATTCTGCCTCTTCTTTTTTTTTTTTATCTTTTTTACAATGTATATTTAAGTTAACACATCTCTCTCTCTCTCTCTCCCCCCTAAACAGAAAGCAATCATTTGATAACACTGTTGTGCATTGGAGCACGATAGCACTAGAATTGTTCTCATAATATAATAAAAACAAGCAGGTTATATAATTTATCAACAATGCAAAATGGGGTCTTAGCAAACACCCCATAAAATTTAGAAGAAAGAAAAAGTAAATGGACTTGATTCCCTGAATGATGCCTCGAATGGTGTTACAGGAATGACCTGATTTAATAAAGGAACCATGTTTTCCTTTTACTTCAGCCTTGTAATTCTCTTTATTTTCTTAATAAATTTAGCCTTGACCGGTCCGGTGGAAAAAAAAAAGAGGAATAGATTGCTAACTGAGGTTGACAGATAGATGCAAACACGACTAATCCACAAGCGACAATATAGCAAGGTCACCTTTGGTAATATATCTCCATGGTAGAAGTTAGCAGACAAATAAGTTTTAATAATTCAAGATGCAAAAAGTAGCAACAGCCAATTGAACATTATCTCAGCAGGATGCCAAAGCGGTTACCATATGAACTTCATATAAGTGGACTGACAGTTAGGACATAGGTTACTCCAAGCAACTAATGTCGGTTCAATTTTACCCCACCCCACAATCTTTAATCAAACAGAGAAGATTTACACCACGACCCATAATATTCAACAAGACAGTAACTTGAACTAGGTAGCACTTTGTTTTGTATGAAGCAGTATAAATTACCTGAAATTTTCTCAAAGACGTGTAGTTTACACAGGCAAGTGTAAAAATCCCTGTTCATGTCTAAACTGTTCCAAAGCAGAAGTGGTAAATTCTCCCTCGCCCAAAGGTCATAATGGTTCCATTGTTCCAAGTCATCCATGTCATCAGACACTAACGATGCGTTGGAGCTGGGAGGACCACATAAACAAAGGCATTAACAGCAAGGCTTCCATGTTAGCTCAAAATCAAATAGTCGAATGGATGACTTGCCAGTATATGCCCAATTCTAAAAGGAATTCACAGTGACTGGTGACAATACAATAGCATCCACTTGCATTGGAGATTATAGCTAAACACCCAAAACACCCATGCATTCCTCCTCTCCTGGCAAGAGATTTCCAGCCAAAAGGATTCAGCAGAGATGGCCAACAAACGGTATGTGAACTTCTTCCTGTTCTTTGTGATATCATTTTCTCTGCTGCACAAATCCTACCCAAAGTCCACAAATCAATCTAATGAAGAACACCAAATCCTCCTTGAGCTCAAGAACCATTGGGGGAGCTCACCTGCGCTAGGTAGATGGAACTCCACTACTACTGCTCACTGCAACTGGGAAGGAATTACATGCACAAATGGTGCGGTGATTGGCATCTCTCTACCAAATCAAACCTTCATCAAACCAATTCCTCCCTCCATTTGTCTCCTAAAGAACCTCACCCGCTTGGACCTTTCCTACAACAATTTCTCCACTTCATTCCCTACCATGCTCTACAATTGCTCCAATCTCAAGTTCCTAGATCTTTCCAACAACGCATTTGATGGACAACTCCCAAGTGACTTAAATCATCTATCAGCACTGCTCGAGCATCTCAACCTATCATCTAATCACTTCACAGGCAGAATTCCACCATCAATTGGACTGTTCCCAAGGCTGAAGTCACTGCTCCTTGACACCAATCAGTTTGATGGGAGGTACCCAGCTGAGGATATCAGCAATCTTGCTGACCTTGAGAGGCTGACACTAGCAGTCAATCCATTTGTACCGGCTCCCTTTCCAGTGGAGTTTGGTAGGTTGACACGTCTGACTTACTTGTGGCTGTCAAATATGAATATTACCGGTGAAATCCCTGAAAACTTGTCCAGCCTCAGAGAGCTCAACCTCTTGGATTTTTCATCAAACAAGCTGCAAGGAAAAATTCCAACGTGGATCTGGCAACATAAGAAACTTCAGAATTTGTACCTGTATGCAAACGGATTCACCGGTGAGATTGAACCCAATGTCAGTGCCTTGAACTTGGTGGAGATTGATGTTTCTTCAAACGAATTAATAGGAACCATACCAAATGGATTTGGTAAGCTTACCAACCTTACCTTACTGTTTCTCTACTTTAACAAGCTGAGTGGATCAATACCACCAAGCGTTGGGCTGCTGCCAAAGCTTACTGACATTCGGTTATTCGGTAACATGCTCTCTGGATCACTCCCACCAGAGCTTGGTAAGCACTCACCACTGGCCAATCTTGAGGTCTCCAATAATAACCTCTCTGGGAAGCTACCAGAAGGCCTCTGCTTCAACAGGAAGCTATATGACATTGTTGTGTTCAATAACAGCTTTTCTGGAAAACTTCCATCGTCATTGGACGGCTGCTATCTGTTGAACAATTTGATGATGTACAACAACAATTTTTCTGGAGAGTTCCCCAAGAGTCTTTGGTCAGTGGTGACAAATCAGCTAAGTACAGTTATGATACAAAACAACAGGTTCTCTGGCACATTCCCCAAACAGCTCCCATGGAACTTTACACGTCTTGACATCAGCAACAACAAATTCTCAGGTCCTATTCCAACATTGGCAGGAAAAATGAAAGTATTCATAGCAGCAAACAACTTGCTGTCTGGTGAAATTCCCTGGGATCTGACAGGCATTTCTCAGGTCACAGAAGTTGACCTCTCTAGGAATCAAATTAGTGGCTCACTACCCATGACAATTGGAGTGCTGGCGAGGCTAAACACACTTAACCTAAGTGGAAATCAGATATCTGGTAATATCCCAGCGGCGTTTGGGTTTATGACAGTACTAACCATCCTTGATCTCTCGTCGAATAAATTATCAGGTGAAATCCCAAAGGATTTTAATAAGCTGAGGCTCAATTTTCTGAATCTCTCTATGAACCAACTCATCGGGGAAATTCCGATATCACTGCAAAACGAAGCATATGAACAAAGCTTTCTATTCAACCCAGGCCTCTGTGTATCATCAAACAATTCAGTTCATAATTTCCCTATCTGCAGGGCAAGAACAAACGGCAATGATCTATTTAGGAGGCTTATAGCCCTCTTTTCTGCTGTTGCCAGCATCATGCTTTTGGGTTCAGCAGTGCTTGGTATCATGCTCTTAAGGAGAAAAAAGCTTCAAGACCACTTGTCATGGAAGCTAACACCATTCCACATATTGCATTTCACCACAACTAACATTCTTTCTGGGCTCTACGAGCAGAATTGGATTGGAAGTGGCAGGTCTGGCAAGGTGTACCGGGTTTATGCTGGGGATAGAGCAAGTGGTGGAAGGATGGTGGCCGTCAAAAAGATATGGAACACACCGAATCTTGATGACAAACTGGAGAAGGACTTCCTTGCAGAGGCTCAGATATTGGGAGAGATCAGGCACACAAACATTGTCAAGCTGCTCTGCTGCATCTCAAGTTCAGATGCAAAGCTTCTTGTCTATGAGTACATGGAAAACGGCAGCCTACATCAATGGCTTCACCAGAGGGAAAGAATTGGTGCGCCAGGACCTCTGGATTGGCCAACAAGATTGCAAATTGCCATCGACTCAGCGAGAGGTCTTTGCTACATGCATCACCATTGCTCGCCTCCCATAGTGCATCGAGATGTCAAGTGTGCCAACATCCTTCTGGATCACAACTTCAGAGCAAAGATGGCAGATTTTGGGCTTGCAAAGATTCTTCTCAAAGCTGGAGACGACGAGTCATTTTCTGCTATAGCTGGAACTTTTGGCTACATGGCACCAGGTCAGAGAGAAAAAGAGTAACTTTGATGAGTATATACTTGCATATTACCTGAAACACTAAATTGTTTACACTTTGCAGAATACGGACATCGGCTCAAGGTAAACGAGAAGATCGATGTCTACAGCTTTGGTGTGGTCCTTCTGGAAATCATAACTGGTCGAGTGGCAAATGATGGTGGAGAGTACTATTGCTTGGCACAATGGGCATGGAGGCAGTACCAAGAATATGGTTTGTCAGTTGATCTTCTCGATGAGGGGATCAGAGACCCAACCCATGTTGAGGACGCATTGGAGGTGTTTACACTTGCTGTGATTTGTACTGGGGAGCATCCTTCAATGCGGCCATCAATGAAAGATGTGCTGCATGTGCTTCTCCGATTTGACCGTAAATCCAATGGGGGAATCTTGCAAGATGATATCTGTGACGAAACAGCTCTTCTTGAATCATAGATAAAGAGATGAAATAACAGTTTTTTGGTTGAAGAAGTGCGATGATCATGACAATGCATGTTTCAAATGCTGTAGGTGATTCGTCTGCTTCATCCAGCAATCTAATGATGCTGTTGCAAAAGGATAGTAACTGCAGCTGTTTTATGTTGACATAAAGCATGTGAAATGTTGATGCAGTCACTAACTACTGTTTAACTTGCAAACTAAATGGCAGCACCTGAAGTTATCTTCAGATCATAACAAAGACTACATTTTTTTCCCAGAATAAGCACACAGATAGCATGGATGTTGGCATGTTGCCATAGTTGACTATGAAATTTCTTGAATTCTTTTGGCCAGCATGTTTAAATTAGCTTCATATTACAACGTGTGTTAATTGAAAAAATAGGTACTGCAGAAATTCCCTTAATTTCTGGAGACAAACAGGGCCCCATTACATCGACAGAAACGAAAATATAATGTGCATAGGTTACTCCAAGCATCTAACTAGTGAGCCTTCAATAAGTAGATGCCCTTCTTTTTCAGAGGAGACGAAACTCCCGGTTATTTAGGAAAAAGAGAGGGTATCTGAATTGATTCTAACAATTTACAGTCACAAAGAACAAAAAAATGTACTACTACACTGGAGCCCGAAATCTAAACCAAAATATTTTGGCATACCTACCGGTCGTACTCGTGATTTCATCCAACATGGAAACAAAAGCGTGGAGGAGTTCACAGGTAGCTTACCGGCCCGATGGTTCCGCGCGGATTACAGAACGGAGGAGCGAGGGGGGCGACGAGAACTCGCCGATGGAGGAGACCCCGGTGCGGTGCCGGCGACTGAGTGCGCCATGCGAATGCCGCCGCCGCCGCCGCAGAAAAAGGCGGAAATCGCCGCCACCGGCGACCGCTTGAAGGAAGGGGGGATCGGGGGTTTTGGGGCGGAAGGAGCAGAAGCGCAAAACAGCTGACATGTGGGCCCACCTGTCAGCCGCTCGTCATGCCGCTGGCTCTGGCTGCAGCAACGGCTGTATCACATGTCAGCGCAAATGGATGGGATAATATCTGATCCAATCTGTTCTAAATTTGTCCGAAACAAGGGTACGAGGTTTATAGAAAAAATTAATCTATATCTATATATAATATAACTAATATAAATATTCGTATTTTTTCGGTCGTCACATCTAATTTCGTCCGAGTTTTCGTCCATAAGCAATCCGATTAGGTTAGCAATAGCGATGGAAAAAATTTGCAAAAAAAAAAAAAGAAAAAAAACGGAGGCCACCACCGCCCGCCTCCACGCCGTCCGGGCCGCCGCCCCTCCCGCCGGCCGCAGCCGCCTTCATGCCGCCGGATCTGGTGGAGGCGAGGTCCGGCCGGCCGCCTCCACGCCGTCCGACTCGCCGCCTCCATGTCGTCCGCCACCACCGCCGCCGCACCTCCCCTCCCCCGATCTAGCGGAGGGGAGGGCGTCGCCGGGGGGAGAAGTGGGGGAGGGCGCGCCGCCGCCGCCGCTTGCGGGGGAAGGCCGCCGCTCGCGGGGGGGGGGGGGGGGAGGGGAGGGGAGGGGTGGGAAATGTATTCTAGGGTTAGGTTTTGGGTATTTATTTAGGTTAGGATCAATATAGACCGTCCATTCGATCGGACGGCTCCAGCTGCTCCCGCATCGGGCCGTCGGTCTATTGGGCCACCGCATTACTGGGCCGCCGAATGGACCGCGTCATTGCATGAGGACGTAAAATGAACTTCAACGGAGAAAAGAAACAGTCCTGATACATAAGATAGGCGAAAGGGAGGAAATATAAACTTTTCCATATACGGCCCAAACCTAAAATGGACGATTTTTATTCTTTTTCTAATTAAATAATTGTTAAATGATTTTTGTATTATTAAAATTAACAATTAAGCTCTCAAAATTTAAATAAAATTCTAAAGAGCGTAACTAATCATGGAGAATTTAATAAAATTAAATTTAACCATGTTATTTTATTTCTCACACTTACTTTACTTGTAAATTAATTTAGTTTTACACCTACCTACTTAAAATATTAAATATTTCAAAAAATTTGTATTTTAATTAATTACATAGTATAGATTTTTCTTAACTTTTCCTCAATTTTCTGGTCTATACACTTCCCGTTGCAAACGCACGGGCACTTTGCTATAATTTCAAAGAGTATAATTAATATTGCAGAAAATTTATATTTCATTAAATTAGAATTTAATATGTTTTAATTCAATTTTCTCGTTTTTTTTCTTTCGCGATGCGAGCTAAGCAGGTATATTTTTATCCATCTTAATTATCATTAGCGCAATGAATAATTTACTTATCTTGAAACATTATTATATACATGTTAACGGTGTACTTTATAGAATTTAACTGTTACTCGTAGCGAAGCACGGGCATTTTGCTAGTAAATATAAAGGACGCGACTACACAGCTAGTGATAGGTGTATTGTCTAAATCAGCCACCACTCATATGAGAGACTCTATCCACCTATGCTTCAAATAAAAAATTCTCTTAACCTACTCATCCGATTTACGATCCAATTACATTGTTGTGTTCGTAACAATTAAATCTTTATAACAAGATCTCACGTGATTATATTTTGATGAAAAAAATAAATTACTTTTATAATATATATATATATATATATATATATATATATATATATATATATATATATATATATATATATATATATATATATATATATATATATATAGAATTAACTTATAACGAAAAGAAAGTAATTTTAATGCATGCATTTTTTTCATTGGACATGACTACACAGCTATTGGTAGCTGGTTTGTACTCCACCTAGTGTTTCCTTTCAACTTGAAAAATGCAATAGTATATATCTTTTTTTTAATCTCTTTAATAATGTATACTCCCTCCGTTTCACAATATAAGTCATTCTAGCATTTCCTACATTCATAATGATGTTGATGAATCTAGACATATATATCTATATAAATTCATTAATATCAATATGAATGTGGAAAATGCTAGAATGACCTACATTATGTCTAGATTCATCAACATCATTATGAATGTGGAAAATGCTAGAATGACCTACATTATGTCTAGATTCATCAACATCATTATGAATGTGGAAAATGCTAGAATGACTTACATTGTGAAACGGAGGAAGTATCTTTTAAAAAAGGTAGACTGCTGGGCAAATGCCCGGTAGTATTCATTTAAAAAAACTTATATATTTTAAATCACATATTACTTCTAATGTCGTGACAAAGTTACTTCCATTTTGTTTTAAGTTACTTTTATAATATATGTAAATTACTTTTAGACTTTATTGAATTTACTCTTTTATATGTCTAAAAAGTAATTTAATCATAGCTAAAAGTAACATATATATATATGATAAAAGTAACTTACGTATATAATAAAAGTAATTTATAAATATAAATATTTTTTCATCGTAATATAATCATATAAGATCTTGTTGTGAAAATTTGATTGTAACGAACACAATGGTGTAATCGGATTATACATCGGATAAGTAATTTGAGAGAAAACTTTATTTAAAGAGGAAAAAGACATACATGTCTATTGAGAAATAAGGCACGCAATATGTCGATCCTTCTCGTTGCACCATTAGAGTGTGGCCACACGGATGGACGACAGGCATGATCGGACAGCTGTGAGGCGCGATACGATAAGGCGAGAAGCCTCTCAGTTTAGATTTTACGAAATATAAATGCAGATGTGGATAGTGTGGTACGGATTCAAATGCGAACGTGATATTTTTAGAATCCGGTGAATTTGGATTATCCGATCGGTCGTTTGTAGGAAACCACTCTATCTATCTGTTGTATACAACATGACTAGGACCATTGCATGGCCTAATTCATTAATTAGCCCGAGTCTTGAGTCTCACTATTTCATCTAACACTTGCGTAACCGTGTTATTATATTATGGGCATCATTATATTATGGGCATCATGTATTCATGTTGTTTAGCACTAGTTCATTGATTATTGTATTGGTTCTATTACTAACATTAGACAATTTTAATCTGCTTTTAGACTGAGTCCACACTGACTCCGGGCTATTTTTGACATCTGAAACAGTCTACTCCACATATGCATCCGCACCCTCTCTGGATCTGCTTAAAAGTATGGTTTAGGATATGGCATGATCAATATCCATCGAATCCGCTCAATTTTCATCCCTAGTATCAACCACGAGAAAAATGGCATTATGCCACTCTCAAAAACGGGTTTCGCAAAAACGCCACTCCACAAAAGGGTTTTATTAAATTGCCAGTCTCAAACCTTGCATGTTTGCTAGAATACTTTCTCAAATGAAAATACCCTTGGCTTTGCTCTTCCACAGCTTCTCTTTCCACACCAGTCTCTGCTCACCGACGATGATAGGGGAGCCTACCTTGTTGGTGACAAAGTGATGGCGTAGGATGGAGGTACCGAGCAGCCCACCACCCACGTTCCATGGCACAACCGCTGGCCTCGTTGTCATTGAGCTCCCAACGAGGGGGAAGGAGGTGCAGCCTCTCACCTCTGGGTCTACTACGGCCTCCTCGAACCCCGATGCAGCGCCGTGGCCTCCTTGAGGCCTCGGCGGAGTGGCTGAAGTAGGAAGCGGGGATGGTAGCACAAAGAAGGAAGGGCCCGACCGGAGGTGGAGCACAGCGAGTCGCACGACTACAGCAAGGCACGGCGAGTTGCACGGCTACGGCAAAGGTGCGGGGAGAGAGACGAGTGTGCCATGGCTCTGTCATTCCTCCGTCGTCGCTGGAGAGGTAGACGATGATGGGGAGAGGCGAGCGCGCGGGAGCTAGATGGGGGAGAGGCAAGTGCGGCAAGACTTTGCCATCCCTCCGTCTTCACTGGCAACTTGGCTAGCGCACTGGTGTTGGGAGATAAGATAGGGAAGAAGGCGTTTTTCTTCCAAAAAGTATTCTAACGAGCGCGTATGGTTGGAGAGTGACAATTTAATAAAACGCATTTGCAAAATGATATTTTTTTCAAAACCTACCTTTGACAGTGGCGTAATGTTAATTTTCTCATCAACCAGTCCATGACTGATCATGAATAACAGACTCATCCTAGATGGCTACATTACAGAAAAAGATTACAAAGAAATTGTGAATTCGATGTAAAGAAAATCACAAGCAATTCACGAACTACATGTCTGCAGGTGCAGGTGAAGAATAAACAAAAGAGCGACAAATTAATTTCATGGAGTACAGGAGTAGATGTTGTTGTCATGGAAAAGTGCATCAATATATGCAGTAGTTATGCATGACTGCAGGAGGGCTCAGTAGGTTGTTTCTGTGGTTCACACAAATTCAGCTTACCGTTCGTCTATATAAGCGGTGAAACTATCATGTTCAAATTCAGCTACACCATGCTTTTATACATACACAGATACACTTGCCAATTCAACACTCCGAATTCATTGTCTAATTTGTTCCGCTCAGTTATGGTTTGGTATACCTAAAAAATGTAATTAGTACTTAGTTTGAGTATGAGATACTGGGGCGAAACAAGTAGTCGTAGCAGCTATGTATGGCATCTCTTGATAAGCAATTACATGGCATCTCCTGATAAGCAATTACTAATAAATCTTGGAGAAGTTTTATTATTGCTTTTCTTTCCGTCGGCACAAATCAATTGTATTCTCATACCTTACACCGGTTGAGAGCTAGTTTATGAATAGCCATAACCGTTCAACTTTTTCTATAGTGAAATTCATTTCAGCCGTTGCTTCAAATAAGCCATATCCAATTACTTTTTCTATAGTGAAATTCATTTCAACCGTTGCTTCAAATAAGCCATATCCAATTATTATAGAGGTTCTAGGATAAACAACTGCGAATTACAAATTCTAACTTGATTAAAAACAAGAAACTATTTGGAGTATCACCTCAAATACAAAGATTTTCTATCTAGGGTTAATTGGATCATACCATTTCAAAATCATCCTACTAAAAAATTGGAACCACACACCACCATTACAATTTTATAGTTATTTAAAATAATCTTTGGACTAAATTGCCCATGACTTCATCCCCTCCCTTGTCTCTCCCGTTCATCTTCTCTACCCTCAGTTGCTGGCTTGAATTCCTCCTATGCTGCCTTTTCCACCGTAGCGACCTCCTCCTCCCTACCCCAATTCCTTCCCCTCCCATCACAGGCGAAATCCTTGGTTTCTTCTGTTGCGGTGGTAGCTTGGCGTAGACCATCCATCCCGCTATAAACCAACCCAAGATTTGGTAGACTTCTATACTACTCGAATCCCCGTCCAAGTTTAAATCTACAAGGGTTATGGACAAGACATATCTTCTATCATTGGGGTTATGTAACACCCTGAAAATTCGACCAACAAAATCAAAACTCTAAAATTATGGGCCTTCAAAAACTTTTAAAATAAATTGCATCATGCCGATTTTATTC